GTGCTTCCGTGGTCTGAGCAACTATTTCCTCCCCCAGTTTGGGGAAGTTTTCAGCAATTATTTCTTCGAAGACACTTTCTATCCCTTTTTCTCTCTTTTCTTTTTCTGGTACCCCTATAATGTGAATATTGTTCCATTTGGATTGGTCACACAGGTCTCTTAATATTCTTTCATTCCTGGAGATCCTTTTATCTCTCTGCATCAGCTTCTCTGCGTGCCTGTTCTCTGATCTCTATTCCACTAACAGCCTCTTGCACCTCATCCAGTCTGCTCTTCAATCCTTCCAGAGACTGTTTTATTTCTGTATTCTCCCTCTGTACTTGCTCCTTTAGCTCTAGCATATTTCTCTGCAGATCTATCAGCATGGTTATGACCTTTATTTTGAATTCTTTTTTGGGGAGATTGGTTAGATCTGTCTCCCCAGGCCCTCTCTCAGGGGTTGTCTGGACTGTTTTGGACTGGACTAAATTCTTCTGCCTTTTCATGGTGATAGAGGTAGCTGTAGGCAGGTGGCACGTGTGTCAGCTGGGAGAACAAAGTCCTTTCCTGCTTGCTGGGTGCCTTGCCCTCCTCCGCTGCCTGTGTAGGTTACCTGCACTCCTGGGGCAGCCTCCGGGTTAATCCCCTAAGCTGCTGTGGTCGGGGTCTCCGTCAGAGTAGCTCAGAGCCCTGCGGGGAGTGGCAGGTGTGCCGGGTGCGCTCTCCTGCAAAAGCGGCACCCCTGCCGGGCAGCTGTGTACTGGCAGTGACCCTTGGGTCTGGTCCAGACAGCTGTGAGCTGGGCTGAGATTCTGGGTGGCTGCTGGGGGTGTGGCTGCTCCTGGGCTGCTCCTCCGCCACCACCGCTGGCTCCCACGGGCCACTCCCGGGCCCCTCCAGTGCTGCTGCCAGTGCGTGCGGGCTGCTCCCGGGCCCCTCTGTCGCTGCCGCTGTGGGCTCACGCAGGCCTCTCTGTCACCGCCGCTGCCGGCTCATGTGGGCCGGCCCTGGGCCGCTTGGCCACCGCTGCTGCGGGCTTGCGTGGGCTGCTCCCGGGCCCCTCTGGCGCCACCGCCCCCAGCGCATGCTGCTGCTCTCCCACTACTGGGCCAGTGTGTCGGAGTCCATGCCAGTTAGGGGAACAACTGGCAGGGTGGTTATCACCGTGAGGGGCTTCAGAGCTGTGCTGCTGCCCAGGGGGTTAGGTCGCCTAGAGTTCTCCAGGATTCCCAGGTGCTGGGGTGCATATGTTGGGATGACTTCGTCCAGCTGTGGGGTCCCTGTCCCTTTAAGACTTGCAAAAAGCACTCGCTTTTCTTTTGTCTCAAGGGCGCTGGTTGTGGGGACATGCTCACAGGTTTTGCTTTTCCGTTTCTCTAATATCCAGCACCCTGTGTACCTTGTGTCTGTGCTCCTGGTGCGGATTTCTAGAGCTGGTTGTTTAGCAGTCCTGGGCTTTCACTCCCTCCCCATTTCGACTCCTTTCTTCCTGCTGGGTTCTGGGGTGGGGGCTGTTCGGGTCCCGCTGGGCCGTGGCTTGTCTCTTACCCCCGTCGTGTGATGTTCAGTTCTCACAGATGTAGATGTAGCCTGGCTGTTGTACTGTATCCACTGGTGTCTCTTTTAGGAATAGTTGTATTTGTTGTATTTTCAAAAATATATATATTTTTGGGAGGAGATTTCCACAGAACTACTAACGCCACCATCTTGGCTCCCAGCCAGGGCTTTTCTTTTTATGGCTGAAAAATATTCCATTATGTATATGTTCTACATCTTTATCCATTCATCCACTGATGGACACTTAGGTTGCTTCCATATCTTAGCTATTGTAAATAATGCAGCAATAAACATAGGGGTGGCATGTATCTTTTTGGATCAGGGATTTTGTTTTCTTTGGGTAAATTCCTAGATGTGGAATTACTGGGCCGAATGGTATTTCTATTTTTAGTTTTTTGAGGAACCTCCATACTGCTTTCCACAGTGGCTGCACCAATTGACATTCCCACCAACAGTGTAGGAGGGTTCCCTTTTCTCCACAGCCTCACGAATGTTTGTTATTTCTTGTCTTTTGGATAGTGGCCATTCTGACTGGTGTGAGGTGATATCTCATTGTGGTTTTGATTTGCATTTCCCTGATGATTAGTGATGTGGAACATCTTTTCATGTGGGAAGGGGTATTCTTTTTTTCTTCTTTTCCTTTTTCTTTCTGGCTGGAGTGTGGATGTGATGGCTGGAGCTGGCACCTTTGGACTACGTGGTCCAAAGTGTATGTTGAGGGTAGTGGAGTGACTAGATTGGAGAAACAAGGGTCCCACTGACCATGCAGCCACTGTGCGCTCTGGATGCCTGTGTTTATCTGAGAAATAAACTTCTATTTTGTTCCAGTGACCTTTACTTTGGTTTTTGAATTCAGAAATCAATACCTGAAAGTGGGATGCTGCAAATAAATCTAAAATGTGGCACTAGCTTGTGGAACTGGCAGGTCAGAAGATGGCAAGGACAGATATGGCCTTTTACCTGGTGGCTAAACACCAGATGTAAGTGTCACCTGCATGCCTTGGAGGATGGACCACATGCAGACTGAGGCCAGGACAACAGACAAAATGGGGGGAGGATGCAAAAAAAGTGTAACTTTTAATCCCTGTTGCTTTACACACAGTTCTATAAAAGTGAGAACTGAGGCCAGAGCCAGCCAGGCTGCAGCAGAGATGGAGGGAGTCCTGCTTTGCTAAAGGATGCACTGTCTGGAGCCTGTGTTCAAACTGACTAAGGTCTTGAAGCATAGAAAATGCCACTGCTTCTGGTCTCCGAACCACAGCTATTAAAAGCAGTGGCCTTGATGTGGTGGTCCTAGCAGGAGGGAAAGCTGAGGGCAGCAAGCCACCTTCAAGACTTCTCTGCCAGGAAATGTGAACTAGGTGGCTCTGAAGATCAGATTAAGGGTGCTGCCTTCCCACCCAAGCTCTTCTTCCAGGTGGCCTTATGGCAGCCACCTTTAAGCTGAGAAGAGGTGTGAGCAGAGTAGGGTGTGAGTCTAGACTAGATCTTAGCTGTGGGTACTTGATGGGATTCCACTGGTGAAGAAATCACAACCTTGGGGACCGCTCCCTTCCCCCGCAAAAAACACCAGTGCCCTAGAGTAAGCAGGCTATAAAAGGCACCCTTTGCAGTCCCAGGGAGGACTGTGCTGCCGGGCAGTGACCCAGAGGACCCCCTGGCCCACCAGTGGCATCTTCTCTGCTCCTGGGTAGTGGGCTTGGATAACTACTGGAGCAGCCTTGCCTAGTCTCCTCTCGTAGGAAGGAGTTTTCAGTGGCTGTTTGTTTTTGCTTCACTATTGTTTCTGGGCTGTGCTGGGAGAAGATTAACTTGTGTTGTGTTTATAAGTCATTGGACCACAAGAAGCCACCCATAAAGGATGGAGCCCACAAATCACCCAGCGGTGGTCTTAGCTTTAGCTTCAGGCCATAACTGGTGGAATTTGGATTGTCTGCCTTGGGGAGAAGAGGAATGGGCTCTATGGGAGGCTAAAAAGGTGACCAACGGTTGAGCTACAGCAGGGACTATAACTGTTTAAGGGACTGTCGCTTAAACCCATTCTCTCCTTGTTTACCAGAAACAGAGCTCCTGAATTTCAGTTAGGCACCTGGCTTCTTGGAATAAAAACTGTTCTCAGACTCCCTCATAGTAGGTATGGCCCTGTAACTAAGTTCTGATCTACGGCATGTACAACATCCATCCGGATGACACACCCCAGGAGGGAGTCTTCCTTTTTTCCTCCCCTTTCCTCCATCCTGCTGGCTGGAGCTGCCATCATAGTACTGGGGCAGCAGAGCAGCAAGTTGGAAGGAGCCTGGGACCGTGGCAATCATGGAGCCACCCCTGGTAGCCCTGTACGGTAGAGGATGAAGAAACTTCTGCTTTGTGTAAACTACTGTTGTCAAGGCAGCTGAACCTAATTCTAATCTAGGATTTGCCCCACAAAGTCAAGACAGGGACAGGTAATGTGCATGCATGGTCATGCTTCCAACCACTTGGAAGGCAGACACAGGCAGAGGGCACTCTCCCCCAAGAGAGTTCATATTTACTAAAATCAAAGGCAAATAAGAAAACACTTCCAGAAATCAAGACATTAGAACAAAAATGTCAAACACATTAATAGTGTTACATAGCTTGAATGTTTTTATATTGATCAAATTATATTTCAGCAGAGTCACTGACAGGTCAGAATGGAAACGACTCTAAATTTACAGAAGAAATATTGCTGATTAAGATAATTTTCAAAACTATGTAACATAAATCCTTTTGTTGCCCAAACAGAATGTGAGTTATGAAGCTGGTGGACGGTCCGTCCAGCCCTCAGACTCCCACGTGTTTGGATTCTCAGGCTGAGGTCAGAATCTTTGCTATCTTTATTGAGTCTTTTCTTGGCTTAGGATGTTAAGAACCAGAGGGTGACAACCCTTGTTTTTGCATTCAACAGCGCCAAGGCTTGAGGGACAATCTCTTGGGGACAAGTCAAAGAAATGGGATACATCTCTCTCCTATAGCTATACAGCACGGTGTAGGATTAATTTAGATTCTCTAGAATACAGACTCCCAGAATGGCAAATGCTGGAAAAACCAAGTAACTTGTCTAGCGCAGCCCTGCCTGCCCCTTTCATATATAAGGAAAGCGAGGGCCCTGGGTGACACATCTTGCCCACATCCTGTCGCTTCCCATCTTTCCCCATTGATGCTGCCTCATTGTTCCTTGCTCTCAATTGACAGTTTCTGTGGAACAGAACAATGTCAAGTAGTAACATAGCAGCAACAGGGTCTATACTAATCTAAAAGCAAATTTAAGTATAAATTACTGTGGTAGGAATGAAAGACCAGCACAAGTGTGTGATCCAAGACCAGGTTCTCCAGAGCGACACCAGGAGGGGGTCCCCCATCTTAGAAGTCAGCACACTGACATGTCTACTTAGACCTTGCAGACAGTGCCAGAGCGCAGGCTGCACATGCCTTCTCCATTCACACCCAGCCAAATTTCCCAGGCAAAACATTTATCTTGATTTTCATGTTTTTTACTTGGGACTAAAAAATGCTTAAGTATAATTGCTTAAGTCTGTAAGGTGGTAAAGTAGCAATCTTGAGCTATGGAAATTCATCTGTATTATTTTGCCCCTTTAGATAATATGCTTGTCTTGTTCTTCCTTAGTATTTCATGAGTTTCGTTCCATGTCAACATCTATCTGCTGGGTCTGAACTACTGACCTATACTGGGGCAGAAATAAGCTAGTTGCAGCCTTTTAAGACATTTATGTGACATAACGGTAGTATTTCTGTAAACCATGTTAAACAATTAAAAAACCAATAAGACACAAATCTCCAAACACATTTAGACTTCTCAGGATTTTTGCACACAGGGTAGATATCCTGATGGCATCTAACTTTATGTCAGCTTTCCTGTCTTCCCTTCTTTTTTGGTGCTTTACTGTTAGAAGTTTTCAGAGTCCAGAGTGAACAAGATAGTGGTTTTATATTCCTTTGTGCTTTTGTGCTCTCTGAAAGAAAAGCAATTATAGTCACCCATATGATTCTACTTCTGTTTCAGGGGTTGTTTTTTTTTTTTGGGCTAATCACTGATAAGTTTAAGTTTATCAAGTAACTCATCCACAGCAGTGCTAATCAGATTTCCACTGGTAAAAGTTCACACTGATAGCATGATTTTATTTAATCCCCATATTTCAGCTTAAGGTCCTCAGCATTATTTTTTAATTAAAAAAAAATGTTTCCTATTTTAGAGATGAGGGAACTGAGGTAGCATTGCTGCGTGAGTTGGCCTAGAGCTAGTCACTGAACCTAACCTCCTACCACTTAGCTCCAAACTCTCCTGGCTCATTGCGCTACCCCAGCACTATGCCCACATGGATGGGGTTACTGTACTGTGTAACGTCTCCCTCCCATCCGTGTCACTTAGCAGGAAAATACCTTCGGGGAAAAGATGGAAAGTACACAAGTAAATATGTTAGACCTGGAGATAAAGATCCTTTAGAAACCAGGCTCCCACAGTACAGATCTAATCTTGAAATCGGGTCAGTACTCAAAATGGCTTCACTTCTGTGTACCTTAATATAAAAGCATCCTTTTTCTATAAATCCTCTTAAGAAACTGGCTTAGCTTCCTCTGCTGGAGGAAAAACCGCTATTTAAAAATACCACATTAAAATTTTTACGTAATTTATTTTCCTTAAATAATAATTTGCTACAATCCTGTCACAAATTTTTAAAAAATTTAACACAGTATTAACAAAGGCAGAATTCTTTAGGACAATCAAAATCATGGTGTACTTAGAATAAATTAACATCAAGTTGTGTTTATATTCAGATAGTCTGATCCTCTCCTTTGAAATGAAATGGAGACCATTTTAACTGAGGGTGAATGCACACATTTGTTCTTCTATACAGAGACTCATTCTTTATATAAATCCAACAGTAATTTGAATCAAGTTAGGAGTCCTGAGAACACTCACCCACGGGCACACACACATATCCACACACATCCAGGGACAACCCTCCAGAAGCCGGGTTTCCCATGGTTTAATGGGAAAAAGACGAGCATATCTTTCCCCAGAAGGGCCAAAGACTCTAAATTTTTAGATGACAGCCCATCTCCCCTCAGGAAAATCATAATGTTTCAAGTGTAATAGCTTGAAATAGCAGCAATCCACATAGTAGATTCAGTAGTTGATAATTCCAGTCTTAGGTGCTGAATGCACAGCAAGAGGTAAGCACTTGCTCTGAAAACTAACGCACAGATGACGAGACGACATAGGAGTTCCTGTCCTCAGAGTCTCAACTGCAACTTTGCCTGAACCTACCTCACTGATCCGGTTCGGGCGCTGCATGGGAACCTGAAGAGATCATTGATGCAAGGAGAAAGCGGGGCCCTGTGGACATAATTCTCAGAAACACAAATCTTGGACGTGGCAGGGAGATGGGAGGGAGGCAGGGAGGGCAAAAAAGGTACTGCTCATCCTTCAGCCTGAAATCCCACTGCCCTGCTGTGCAGCAGTCACCGGGGTTTCCTTGACATTGGGGTGGGTGAACCCTGATTGTTCCAGCCCCGCCTCCAAGCACAGAAACTTGGCCCTTAAAGTCTTATACACACACAAAACATCCAGGTAACTCTAAACAGCCACACTGTTCCTGGGAGGCAACAGCACCACTGGTGTCCCCTCTCGACTGCCTAAGGATGGTTTATAGGAACATGGGGATGTCTAGAGAGGAAGGCATTAGGACAGGCACAAACTGATCCCCCTTTGCTTATGTCTCTCCAGAGAAATAGTGGGCCTAAATGATGTTCTAAGGGCATGCGTATCTACACAGTTCCTATGTACATGATACTTTTTCTATAGATTTTAAAGTGCCAGTGTTCAAATGTGCTCATTCCTTTCCCACAGCCTATAGATTCCTCTTGCTGCTTCCAGAGGTCTGTCCTTAAGGAGGATGCCTTGGGAAAGAGAAATGAACGTTTTCACAGTTGTCTTAACTGGGATCCAGCATTTGGACTAAGCCTTCTTCATAAACACGAAGAATCGCTTCACACACAAACTTGTACTGGCTCTGGAAAAGAAAAGCAAGCCGTCAAGGCCACCAGCAGCTCCGTAACGCTGCAGCCCTCCGCGTCCGCAGTGATTCTGTCACGTCATGCATACACACCCTGAGCTCCAGCTCTGGAGCAGGCTGGACCCCCACACTACAGGCCAGGGAAACAGTGGAGAGGACACACAGTAAGCCCATTATTCACATGAGGAGGGGTAGGGGCTGCTGCCAGAGAGGGATGGGCGAGTGTCATGGAAACACAGCAGAGGGAGGAACCGGCAGTCTGGGGCAGTCAGGGAAGGGGCAGAGGTCACTGCAGGGTGGCCATTCCAAGTGTATGCACAAGCGTGGAGGCTCTGACAAGGACAGCCCATCCCGAGAGGTGTAGTTAGGGCTCGTGGTCCTGGCCTGGACCTCCTGGGCGTGGGAGGAGAGGCTGCGTAGGGGGACCTGACTGTGGGGGGACCTTGTACTAAGGTAAAGAATTGGGATTCTGTCTTCAGGAGGAGAGCCACTGAAAGATGCTCTGCAGGATATGGTCCTTTAAATTAAAAACCTAAGACAAGAGATGGGCCAATGGCTGGACAACGTAGATGGGCTGCATGGCTGGCAGGAAACAAGTCATGGAAGCAACAGAGGCGGAGGGCAGTGAAAGGCAGAGGCCACACTGGGGTGGGCTTTGGAGTCGCTCAGCCCCTAACAGGCTCTGTGACCTTGGGCAAGGAACTCAACCCCCTTAAGTCCCGGTCTCTTGGCCTGCAAAGCCATTTGTGAAAACCTGGCCCAGGGCAAGTGCTCAGGAAGTGTTAGTCATTGTGACTATTTTTTTTAGTGAATTTCCACTCACTGATGTCTGCACCATCATGGCGCGCTGGTCTCGCATTTTTCGGACAACATCCAGTGGGTAAACGGGAAGGTTTCTCTCAATTAGGCATATGGCTGTTTCCATGGTGACCAACACACCGGTTCGACCTATTCCAGCACTGGGGGAGAGGAGCAGAGACTTGGGATTTGGTCAGGCACTGTTCCACACAGCCCAGCTTAACTCCTTGCCAGTTCCCACATTTACTCAGACGGAGCTCCCCTCCCCTTACCTTCAAGGATACAGAACATACTGCCGTTGGCTCGCAAACAGGCTGGAAAAGCCTCTCATATACTCTGAGGCGAGAGGCTTAAGAACCCGCAGAAAGAAACCCACCTTTAAGTGCAAGCCCCACCCCCTACCTTATTCACGTCTATTGTGAAGGTTGGTCAACTCAGGGACAGAGAGAAAGCTGAGGTGGGGGTTTGCTTCTTCAGTTCTATGCTACATTCAGGAGCTGATCCTTTCTCAAAATTCCAAATCTTTTGAAATAGTGAAGAAAAGTAAACAGAACCTTGTAAAGCAAACAGTGGCGCTATGGGACCAGTGGGCCTCATGTCTGCCTACTTCCTCCAGGCCTGTCCCCAAGGAGTATAAGTACTAAAACAGTAGCAGCAATAAGCCCCAGTACCTGCAGTGAACCAAGACGGGTTCACCATCCACTCTCAGGGACCGCACATAGTTTACAAATTCCAGGAAGTCTGAGGAGTCGTCGGGAACGCCGTGGTCGGGCCAGGCCACATACTGGAGATGGGTCACGGTGTGCTCTTCCCGGGTCTGTGCAAGATGCAACGTGGCCTTGCTGAGTCTGTCCGGACGGCGGGCAGGAGGGTTCTGGCCCTGACCGCCAGCCACAGTGGTCTTATCTCCTGATGCTTCTGCCCACTGTGCACAGCCCTGCGGTGGCCCCTGTCAACTCCCACCCTCCCGCCCAGACCCCCACCCTGTAGGGCTCAACTCAGGCCACCTCCCATGGGAAGCTTCCTCACCACTGCTAAACCTGCAGTGATTTCTTCCCATTCGCTCCAATGGTATGTGCCATTAGGGCCACGCACCTTGGCTTTTTTTTAATGGGGCAGAATGTACATACATGAAGTTTACCATTTTGACTACTGTGTGTACAGTTCAGTGGCATGGCGTCCCCTCACAGCGTGTGCACCCATCACCACCACCCATCTCCAGAACTTCTGCATCTTCCCAAATGGAAACTGTATCCACTCAGCACTGACTCTTCATTCCCACCCCTGGTTCCTGGCAAACATCTTTCTACTTTCTGTCTCCAGGAATTTGACAACTCCAGGTACTTCATGTAAGTGCAGTCCTATGATATTTGCCCTTTTGTGACTAGCTTATTTCACTAAGTATAATGTCTTGAAAGTTCATCCTTGTTGTAGCACAGGTCAGAATTTTTAAGGCTGAACAGTATTCCACTGTACGAAAATACTGCATTTTGTTTATTCATTCATCTGTCAATGGACACTTGGCTGTTTCACCTGCTGGCTATTGTGAATAGTGCTGCTGTGAATGTGGGTGCTGGTCCTTGTATGCTTAGTGAAATGCTCACCCGGTGAGCACACCTGGAAGTATGGCTTTATCAAGGCCCACAGTGGCTGCTCATTCAGCATCTGCCTCTGAACTATGCCCTCCCCTGGGCCACTCACTGTGTGGGGGCTGCTCACCTCAGTGTTCGTGACCAGCATCTCTCGGAACACGTAAGCGATGGTGCAATCCTCTGACTGGCAACGGATGTGAAAGCTGCCGTGTTCCATGACGTCGGGAGGGTCAGGCCAGTACTGGTGACATTTGGTCTGCAAGGAAACCACCGAGTATGAGGTGACCCCACTGTGAGGGTGGGCACCCAAGCAGCTAACTGCACAGACGGGTGGGGTGTCTGGCCAGAGCCCTCTCACTCATGACAGGTACCCCAGGAGCTGCTGGGAGCAAAGGAACTGGCGAGGCTGGTCTGCATCTGCTATCTGAAGTGGGGAGAGGAACCTCTCTGCCTCTTCTGAAGCGTGGGGTGAGGGTCAGCCTGTCGGGGGCCAGGCCACAGCTCAAACCAGCCTGGGGCTGGAGCCTGGAGGACGAGTGCAGAGATTTCTTCTTCATCACCAGGGTCCAACTGCTGGGACAGGAGAGGCCTCAGACATGCGGCCGTGCCTTAGAAGCGACCCCTTCCGCCCCCACTGAAGCCCACTCTAGTCCCTCAGGCCTCTTCTCTGCTCTCAACAGCCCTGTTCTACCTCATCCCTCCATCATCATCCACCCTGACCCACGTGGGGTGGGAGGCCTCAGGCAGGGAGGTTAAGAGCATACGTTTGGGAGTCAGCAGAACTCTGCTGGAATCACAGTCTCCTCCCCTTGTAAGCCACATAGCTTTGAATATGCTGCTCAACCTGATTTTTATATTTTTTGCCCAAAAGACTGGGAAAACATCTGCTTCCTGGGCTGACTGTTGGGGGGCCAGGTCAGCGGTGGCTGCTATCACCACTGTTGCTATGGGCTCCACACCAACTTGAGGAAGGGGGATCAGAGTCCACAGAAAGCCAGACGAAAGAAATGCCCAAACTGACATGAACATTCCTTTGCATTTGAGCGGCATCTCATACATGACTCATACAGAGCTGAAACACTCCCCGGACAGCAGACAAGGAACACAGGCTCAGAGGAAGTTAGCAACCTGCCCCAGTGCAAGGTGTGCAGGCTGATGTGCTGATCCCACTGCTTCTCCCTCTCCCCACCCTTTTCTTTTTCATTCCCCCTTCCAAATCCTAAAGTTTGTTCCATAGCTGTCTTAGCTCTTATTTCTGGCTTTGAAGCAAAATTCAAGGCCAACCTATCCAGCTCATCAAAGTTCCATCAGTCAAATTCTGACTAATAATTAATTTCTTTTAGTCTAAGCTTACTGTTGCATCAACTTTTGTAAAAATTATATGTTTACATCTGAAAGGGGGTATGGATCAACAGACACATGTAATGTGTGTGGAAACCACTTCTCCTATTTTCAAACATCACAGTGAATATTTGAAATTAAAGCAGGCTGTTGGAAAGTCGGAGTTAAGAATTTATTTGTAAACCCTAAATATGGGTAATTTTGGTTAGTGGTCATTTCCCAACTTCTTTTAGACACGAAAGGGTTACTGTCCACAGAACTCGAGGCAGGGCTGACAGCCCCCGGCCAACGTTGGCCTCTCCTCGGATTCTGCAGGTATCTGCTGCAGGCACCCAGGGTCCTTGCCCACAGCACAAGTGACGGGAAGATATTCTTGAAAGTCGATCCACCCATACAAGGCAGGGATACAAATCTATTTCCAAAGACTCCCACTGAATTTGACCGGAACTGGACCCTCTACCCCTTGCTCAAATTCAGATTATATCTATTTGATCTCAAACCCATGGGAGTCCATGGAAAGAGCAAGCACCTGTGGAAAGCCGGAGTTTCAGTCCTGGTTAATATGCTCCACTAACCAGTTGTGTGATCCTGGATAAGTTACTTACCTTCTTTGAGCCTCATTTTCCACATTAATGCAGTTCAGGTGCTGAAGCCGTGAGTTTTGGGACAGTATATGCTAAGCACTAAATGGGGCTTTTTATGGACATCATTTTGTCTTGGCCTCAAAACAACTCTATGAGATAGGTGCTATTATTGTCTCTATTTTGCATATGAGTAAAACTGAGGCTCTGAGGGTCAATCAATGGATGTTAAGACCACACCCGTCTTACAGGAAGTGGGACATATATAGAGGTAAAAAACAATTTTTCTGCTAAAAGAAACACCCTTGAAGGGTGTGGGGGAGTAACTTTTTCAATAGAAAAACTGTAGTTCTGTCTCCTCTACTAAGAAACCCATGAACCTGAAGGGAGAACATAACAAAAAACATTAAAAAAAGGGAGTAATGAAAGCCATCCTGCCACGGGAGCACCTTGCAGACCACGATACAAGCCTTGGAAGAGACTCTCTGGGCAGCACAGGCCACGAAAGGGGACTCCAGCCGGCCACACAGCCCGTGGGAGTCCCACTCTACTAAATGCGTGGCATGGAAGACAGCCACAGGACACACTGAAACTTCCTCTTTCGGCAGAAGTGAGGGGCTGAGCTGCTCACTTGGGGTGCCTCACTCCTCATCTGTGGGTGGGGTGAGGACCCGATAATGGACCTCAGGATAAAAGCTGGGGTCAGCTGAGAGTTTGTAACAGGAGAGGGAGGAAACATGTAGCCTGGATTTCGGAAGAACAGGTTTCTAACAGTTGATAAGCAAGAGGGTGAGTTCCCAGGGCCAGCGACGGTGAAGGGAATGCTGACTCATGGGCGATGGGAATCTCCAAGGCAGGAACCCGATGGAATGCGCTCAATTAGGAAAAAAGGGCTGGGAAACAAAGAAACACACTTGTTCCCACAAGACCTGAGGAACTCAGGTTCAGCGCGAACACCAACAAGGGAGGGCGGGCGGGATGTCATCAGGACAGAGCAGGAAGGGCAGGCCCTGTAGGAGCAGCTGGAGAAAGCATGGCCTCTTGGAAGGAAGGCAGAATGAGCAGGACAGGGGAGAGAGGGGCTGCTCTCCAGGGCAAACCACCTGTCACCACCCATGCCTGTTGCAGCTCCGTGCTCCATGGAGGTGGCCTTAATAGCTGGGAAGGCAGAGCCGACGTTAAAGGGGGAGCAGAAGCCCAGAGCAGGTCAGGAGACCACACCCAGCTGCCCCAAATAGGTTCAAGTGTCGGCTCTAAGGAATTGCATCATGAACTGAAAGGCTGTAAGGGAGGAGAGTGGCACCACCATGAACAGTTCCTGAGAAGACCTGGCACATCTAGGTACCCAGAAGGGGCAGGCATACAGCCCAGTTTTCAAATGAGAAGACTGGAAGGTTGTGGAAATGACAAGGCAATAAACTTGATGTCAATCATCTATAAAATACCAGAATGGCCCAGAGCAGGGCCTGCAAAGCATTGGATTAAACAAGAAACACCCACTACGTGATGGGGGAAAAGCAACTTTGTTTCATATGTGCTATGGACAATTCTCATTTGGGTTTCAGATTCATTTTGACTTTAACATTCCTCCCTAATACTTTAACTCTCTTTATGAGGGAGACGGAGTAAGTGAGGGAGAGAGTGTGCACCCACACGCATGTGCAGGCTTTGGGTTCAGAGCCTGGAAGGGCACAGTGTTTATTTAGAATTCAATAACTTTGTTTTGTGGTCTCTGTATTTTTTACACATACCTTCATTTACGGCAAGTGGCATTACAGTTCCACTTAAGATATACTTTTAAAGGAAACTTATTAAAGCAAAAAAAAAAGTCAATTTAAAGAAATATAATAATTTTACAGTGAAACAAATATAGCAGAGTTCCAGCAACTGTTAAGGTGGTACCCAAACTCCTCCCACTGCTAGCAAACATTATATAATATCTGTTGTGTGCCCAGCACTCTGCCAAGAAAACTACCTGTATTAACTCGATTCCCCCTATCCCACAAGATGGATTCTATTATTATTCTACTTGGCAGCTTCCCTAAGTCATACAGGAAAGAAGGGACAGAGTCAGGATTTGAATTCAGGAAGCCTGGTCCCGGGGTCAGCCTTTTCACCCACTGCATCACAGACCATGGGAAATGCAAGAACTCTAGAAAGAGAGGACAGGGTTCCCTGAGCTCAAAAAAGACCCATTTACTTCAGTTCCTATTCAAAACAAAATTAGAAAAACACACACAGAAAACCAAAATACAAACAAAAATCAAACATAGATAAAAATGAGGCTTCCAGATCAGGTGATGCCATGGACCTCTCTGGCCTGTGACAGTCTCTCATGGTAACTGGGTTGGCAGGATAGAGAAATGGCAGGGACCGGGAGCAGAGCAGGGAGAATTGACAGCTGCTCCCCAAAGAGTGCCCTTGATGCCTCTGACTCACAGCATTCCAGAAGGAAGTTTCTATTGCCTCTTGAGGACCTTTACATTTTTTAACAGTGACTTATGTGAAGAGAAGAGATTCTGATTAAAATCGTGAGTGGCCAGAAACTAAGAGTGAGAGACGACACAGAGAATGATGGAAGGAAAGCCCAAAAAGCCCCCCAAAGCCCTGTTAACAGCCAGACCTGATGGCTGGATGACACCTGTGCTGGTGATGACGACATACATGGACAACAGCTAACACTGGCTGGACCCTTGCAACACGCAGTTAAGCTTTGTGTATATATACCGTCTCCACCTTCCCAAGCCCTTCAAGGCAGGCACTGTTATCTCCATTTTATATACAGAAAAGCTGCACGTCATCGAGGTTAAGTGAAACCATGTTTTGCACACTGGTCATCTGGCTCCGGAGCCCGGACTGCATGCTCTACGTAGGTTTCAAGAGTCAAAGGCATGAGGACAAAACAGGGGAAACTGGCTTGACAGCAACATCAAGACAAAGGCAATTTCCACTGACCACATGTTTAATGGAAGCTGAGCTTGTAACTGTTTATGAGTCTAAGATTATTCTCAGATCTCTGAAAGGGCATTGCACAGAAGAGAGGGTAACTTCCTCTGTGCCTTTCAGGAGGGAGAAGCATGTGGTGGAGGTTCAAAGCAATGTGGATTTCAGCTCTTTGTAAGGAGGAATTTTTAAAAGACCAAGCTGAACACCCACAGGATGGCCACTGGAAGGGTTCTGGCAGAAGTGGGGGGCCCTTCACCTGGAACAACACATGTAAAAGTCCTTTGCAATCCGTGGGGCGCTGTAGGATTAGTAGGAATTATTTTGTTGTTTCAGGTGACAATGTAGACTACTCTGAAACATACTATCCATTCCAATTCTGTATATTCTGGTCTTTACAATGGATTGGTGTGGCATTCTGAGTTATGTAACAAGGACAGGTCTGGGAGGAAGTGGCACACAGATCATTCAAAGCACGTCATTAAAAATTAATTTGTATTTGATTTTAGGATGTGTTTCTGAACAAACATTTCATAACAAAGATATCCAGATGTATGCATAAGTTAGAGAGTTCATGATACAGGTATGTCTTGCACACTGACTTGTGTTCTATAACCAGAGATCTGTTCCTATGAAAACGCATGCCCTGCCAAGCACAGCATGGGCCCCACCACTCTCCTAATTAAGCCCATTTTACCTCTTTCTGCATTGGGTTTTACTGCAATACAAGCAGAGGTTAAAAGAGGATGTAATTTCTCCTACTTTTCATGGCCACTGTGAACCTGGCATCCATACTACCCTTCTTAGAACAAACACATGTCCAGGGTGAGTGAGGCCACAGCCAACACAGGAGTTCTGGCAAAGGTGAGGTAAGGCAAGAGGAACGACCTTCTGGCTTTTTCTAAAGGATCCAAGCCAGGAGTGGGAGGGGCTGTCTGATGGTTCAGCTCAAGTTTGACGAGGGAGCAGGCAGGAGTGCTGAGCTTCCCATCACTGAGGTACCTGTTGGCAGGTCTGTACACAAGATTTTGGGCCCTGTAGGGGCTGGACTGGCAGTACTTGAGGCTCTTTCCAGCTCTGAGATTCATGTTCCACAGAGCATGTGTGACATGCACACATATGAACAGGAAGGAAATCAGGCCACTTACCCGCCCTCGCTCTGTGAGAGTCGTCAACATGACAATGAGTGATAACTTCTGATCCCAGATGACTTGCCAAAATTGAGCACAGGTATGCGGCAGGGGTCCCTGAGCAGCAATGTACTTGTTCACAAGGTTAGCAGCAGGAATTTCCATCTGGCAAGAATTATTAAGGCATTAGAATCTGTTACTATCACAAGGATTCTAAATTTTTCTAGTTAGTGACTGACATACCAGAATACGATTGCTATCAATTTATGACCAATAAGAAACAGTGAAGAAAAAAAGCTATTAAAAAACCCTTGAAAGATATTTGACAATAATGCTAGATTAGATATTCAAGATAAAATTCTTATGACACACAGGAGGTTATCATAAGAATTGTACCTGCAAGATGGCAGAGGAGTTTAAATGACCTTCACCTCTGTATCCTAAACATAATCGATATTGGGTATCTGGATTTTCAGCAACACATACCAATCCTCATGCTCAATCTTTCTCTATGCAGGGATTTCTACTAAAATCTAGTTACTTCCCTTTGGAAGCATAAGCCCTACAGACTTATACTACCAACTATTATTTCACTTTGCTTTCTACATGGCTGCCAGTAATGTGTCACTGACTGGATCAATCTTTTTTTCCCCAGTTCTACTTAAGTATAATTGACAAATAAAATAAAAATTGTATATATTTAAGGTGTACACATGATGATCTAATATATGTATACATTGTGAAATGAGTACCACAATCAAGTTAATGAACACATCCATCACCTTAGTTAGCATTTGAGCTGATGAATGTTGGATGTTAAGCTGTTGGCCACGCTGCCCTCTGTGGCCCTCTCCTGCCCGGCTCTGCTTTTACTGCTGCTCTCCTGAGCTGAGTCATTTCTGTGAAAGAATACTCAGAACCTTCTGAGCTTTGCAGTGGCGCTGTGAGACACTCATCCTTAGGTGGGGAAGGTAAGCAGAGGTGCCTGACTCATGGTTTGATTGATGCTAGGGCTAACGGTGTCCTCAGCCCTGGTCTCAGTTCTCCCAACCCTCAGGGAACTCGTTAGAGACTGGACTGTGTGGTCTTATCACCCCCGACTCACTCTAACGCTCTGCTTTCAAGACATCAGGAATGCTGAAGTGAGGGCCAATGAATCCCACAGATGTTTTGGAATAAGTGGAATCACGGATCAGATCCATTTTTGTTAGGGTAGCTCTTGATATATATATATATATTTTTTGAGAGGGCATCTTTGATATTTTGATAACATTTGAAAACTTGGAAAATCATTTGTTCATTTAGATCAGGGATTGGCAAACTCTGGCCTAAGGGCCAAATCTGACTGTGGCTTTGCAAGCTAAGAGTTTTTAAAAAATATTTCCACGGTTGCATTTTAAGTGGATATATAAGTACCTCAGGAATATTCTCCATTTTGCCTCTTGGTTTGCAAAGAACAAAATATTTACTAACTGGCCCTCTATGGAAAAAGTAAGTATACCAACATCTGGTTTAGATGAAGAAACTGAGGTTCAGAGAGGCCAAGTTACCCAAGATGCATTTTCAGAGTGAAATGAATGCTTTACCCACAGTATGTGAAATCTTTTACCTTTTCTTTTTGGGTTATATGCACAGAGGTGGTTTTATTTTTATTTTTAGGTGGGATGTGCAATAATAATGTCAGGGAAAAACACAGAAAGTTACAAACAATACCACTGGCAATGAAACAAAACACCTAAATGTCAGCAGTTGAGGACAGAAGGTGTGTGGACAATGGGAGCCAGAGACACGGAATCTGAGTTTTAGTCTCACCTTCTGTTAGCTTTGTGACTTTTCAAATTACTTAATCTCTCTGAACCTTAGTTTTGTCCTCTGTAAAATGAGACTATTCTGCCTTTCCTCAACGGCTGCTGTGGTGCTGAAATGAGGGAGTGAACAGGAAAGCACTTGGTCAGCGGCAAAGCACTACACATGCCATTATCATGCTGCAATGAGTGAGGTGCTCTGTCACGTTATCCAGCCTCCTAACTTACGTTCACATAACTCGCGTTAATATAATCTTCATTTCCCTGCAATAATACCCGGGTGGTGTCATCTGTGGGGGAGAGAAAAATTTACTGATTATTCTGAGTGTTATTTTTATCACACCCAGTAAACAAGAGCTCTGCTCCCTACCCCATCTGCAGCTCCCACTCCATTAGCATAAACACTAGTCCCCAACTGTTCAGTCTGCAATGGCTGAAATAAAAACAGTGGTGTTTACAGACACACTGAAAATCGTTTCAGAATACCAGACAATCTGTTTCAAAAAGGGAAACGTTATCTCAGTGTGTGGGGGTGAAGCAGGCATTCATGCGGATACTCACAAGGCAACACATCCTTGTATCGGTTTTTGTCCAAATTTTGAGGCAGCTTTGCAAACGTGATGGCCAAACCAGGCTTCTTTCTATAAAGTTGCTGTAAGACAAGTAGAGAAATAAAAATCATTGCAAAAAGCAACCCTGACCGGGGTGTTAAAACATACTTTAAAAATTTACCATTCGTGGCATCAAAATACCATTTAAAGGTGATTTATTTTAAAAGAAAAAAATCTTCCCAATGATAAATTCTACAATCCCATGAGAAACACCAAACTCTTCAATAATACTGTTATAGCATGAGGATTTTTTGGGGAAAAAAGTCATAGGAAGGGATCTGAGGCACAGATAATGCATAAAATCACAGTGCGTAAAAACCTCATCTTCGTGACAACTGTTTGACAAATGCTAAAAGCAAGCAGAGAGGAAAAGAAAGAATTCCAACTCAAAATTTAATGGAAATAATTTACATTAGTCTAAAAACATTGCCCTCCAATTCAATGGAGTGAACCATGCTTTCTGTTTAAGAACAAGAGCACTTCATTCATCATCTCAGGAGTGTATTCCCACAGTAAAAACACTTATTCCAATAAACAGCAAAATTCATTTAAAGAGGTATTTCCCTATACATGCAATCACAAGCAAAGAAAAGATTAAGACAACCTTTGTACATCTACAAGCCCATATCAGACACATTTGCACACAAAAGCACAGAGAGGTATTAAAAACAAAAAAGGAGGCTGAACTATATATACACTAGCACTTCCCATACTATGTCCTGTGGAACCCAAGTGTTTTGAGAAAACATCTCAAGGTCAAAGAAATTTGGGAAATACCACAAGCCACCTTATGTTCTATGAATCTCCAAGGAGACAAGTTCTGTGATGCATGAGTTCTTTAATTCTGATTAGCTAAGCATTTCACAAGCTATGGGCCTTGGAGGATCTTACATCTCACAAGAAGTTTTCTGGAAAATACTACCAATAATTTTGAAGGCTGTTTTTTATTCCCCCTACTTATTACATACTGTCTAGTCCCTGTCATTCAACATTCTCAATATTCTCTACATGATTTTTACAGTCTCAGTAATCTAGTTTTCCATAACCTATTTTTTAACTTTTATACTCCTTTTGATTAGGCTGTTTTCAATTTAAAAAAGAAATAAATTCCCAGGAACAGAATTACTGCATCCAAGTGTATTTGTAAGGACTTTGGTACCTATAACCAGGTTGCCCCACGGGGGTGTATGAGAATGTTAATTCACCAAACTGCGGCCAACATCATCAACTAAAAGGTGTTTGTAATTTGAACAGGGAGGCTGAGCATTATTTTTCCCCCCCTTTATTTTTGCTAATTTTATTTCTTGTTTGTAAACTGGCCTCTGTTGATCTGTTTTCCTCTTCTTAGTTCTTTTGTTTATTAAGCAAATTGCACAGAAATCACCGAAAGAATTAGCATAGCGATTTTTGGTAATGATAATTGTGTCATGTCTCACACATTTATGAAACATTTAGAATTTCCAATCTCTCCCCTAGCTCAGCTACTGATCTTTACAATTTCTGTTCATAACAATCAAGGAGTCACTGAACAATTTCTTAAATATCCGTGAGCTTTAATGGACACTCTGAGCTCTTTCTAGAAATAAATTCATGATTTATTCTGGAAGGAGGAGAATCTAAATCAGATTTGCCTAAATGACAATTTGATTCTGACTAACTGCATAAAGGTGGAATCCAATTAAGTGAATATAATCAGTTAAAGCTAATCTGAAGGTAAAAAAATTTTTTTCCAAACAACAAAAAGTAAAAGTAATCAACTTGAGATGGTCTGGCAGAAAAGCATAGAACTAGCCAAAGGCTTTAATTACACTATGTATAAAAAATAACACCAATTATAAGTGTCTCAGTGAAGGTCTGTTAATAGGTTAGTAATGTACAGTATTATAGTAGTGTTTAGAAGTCTTCAAATGTGCACACTCTGGGTCTTATCTGACAGAAATGCATAAAGATACATATTAAATAAATTTATCTGCAGCAAAATATTTTTTTATTAGTAGAAAATTGGAAATGGCCTGAATATTCCCCAACTGGGAGGGTTGACTTAAATTATGGTAGAGTCATACAATAACATTATGTGCAAGTAATAAAAAGAATTCAACTAAAGTACAGATGTGAAAGGATATCCATTTATTTAAATGAAAAATGCAAATCACAGAATTATATATATAGCTCTGATCCCATTTCTATTCACAGCAGCACACATACACATAATGTGAGTATAATATGCAGGTGTGCACTTACGTATAGTTGTGTGTATATAAAATATATTTGCAGGAACACTGGCACAATTATGGAAGGATACGCACCAAAGTATTATTTGTAAAATACCAGGGACGTCTATACTGAAATGCATACCCTTCTCTTGCTTAAATAGAAATCTCAACCCAGGGAAAGCGTGGATGAGCCTTGGGTACTCTCAGGAACCTGGGGCTGAATCATTGAGTTCCTCAAAGGAAGAGAGGTAGTAATGGACTTGGAGCTGTCCAAATCTTCTCTTTCCAACGGGAGACAGAGGAATGCCCTATCTTCGCTGAACTGAGTGTTCAGGCGGGTTGAGTCGGAGCGCCCGAACCATGACTAGCTCGCACAGTGTAACCCCTGGAGGAAAAGGCTCATGTATTGGAGGTCCGGTGAAGTGGGCTGCAGCCGGCAATGACGAGTTCTCACCACAGACTGGGCTTCTAACATGGGCTCTAATCCTACGCTATCTCTGACCAGCTGTGTGACACCGCGCACGTCCCTTAGCCTCTGTGCTTCATTTTCTCCATCTATTAAGGATGATCCTAATAATTCAGGCCGTATCTATTCCACAGAACTGTTGTGAGAGTCAACTGAGGTAACATATGTGAAACACTTGGTAGATTTTGAAGTGCTACTGAAATGCTAATTATTATTAAGCATGATTTCATTACAGCTGGGACCAAATGTTTTCTGGAACACATTTGTAAATTGTTTACTAAAAGCCACAGGAGGCACAGGGGAATTCCATTAATGACAAAATGCTTCACAACAAGCTTTGACATTGTGGGAGGGATTCCATCCGTGGCCCAGCTGCCCCAGGGCAGGCCCTGTGTTTGTGGAGTGGGTGCCATGGCACCTGCTAGGACCCAGCTCCCTATTCCTGTTCTCGTCTAGAGCACAGCCCTCATCAGCAAAGCTGCCCACCTGCTGATGGCCCTGGAGGAGCAGGTGGAGAACAGAAAAGCCAAGGCTCTGCAGTCAGACAGCCCTGGGTTCCAAACCCAGTGCGACAGGACCACTTCCTGTGTGGAGGTGGAGCATGTTCTTCAGATTCCTGGAGCTTCTATTTATAAATAATAATGTCGTTACTTCATATCGAGCTTATGTGCCAGATGATGCATTAAGTATTTATCTCATCTAACCTTACGACCAACCCATGAGATACCCAATTTATAGATGGGGCAGTAGAGGGCCGTGAAGGTTAAGGGATGTGCCTGAGGTCACACAGGAGGTGAGAACTAGAGCCAGGATGTAAGGTAGATAGCTTGTCAGATCTTTCCTAGCCCTGATGTTGTACTAGGCTAATAACAACTCTGACACGTAAACAGCATTTTGTTTCCGGAGGCTGTTACGAGAACAAGCTCTTGATTTGGCCTGCCTGGGTTCCAAGAAGCTGTGCCATTTACTGTGAGATAAGCTCTCCCAGACTCTGATCCTTCCCCTATATAGAGGGCTGCTGTGACAGTTCTGGGCAGGGATACACATGAAGCCCTTGGCACAAAGTAAGTGCTCATTAAAGGTTTCCTGCTCAAGCTGGCTTTAGTGCTCCCCTCCCCTAGCAGCTGTATAAGACATCCTTCCCTATCTGCAGCAGTGGTTGTTAAATGATGTTCCATTGCCTGGGGCTCCCTGGGGGGCGGTGTGGGAAATGGAAGAGGCAGGGCTCCATGCACCCCACCAGGGTAGCTCTGCTGTTCTCTGCTCTGCATTTTGGAATTCTGCAAAAGATGCTATTTAAAAGGAGGGTTTCCTAGTTAATTTCTAGAAAGTGTGTAAAATTTAACCTTAAAACTTCAATGTTCTTCATTTCTTAGGTAATAGTTCAACCATAAGCTCTAAAGAGGTCTTAGGATGGGCATCATTGGGACAACGGCTCTAGTAAGATCTTCGCCCTCTCATCCTCTAGACCAGCGTGAGCATCCCAGGGTGGCTGGTTCAGGAGCCGTGGGCCAGGCCAGGCTTAAAAGGCTCATCAGGTGATATCCATCCTTGTGCACACTGTGCCACCCTTTGAGAAACACTACTCAAAAACACAGGGGATAGGCGGATACTTCTCTCTAAAGCATTTTCTTTTCATGCTGAATAGCATTCTTTTTATCTATCTATCTATCTATCTATCTATCTATCTATCTATCTATCTATCTATCTATCTATTTAGTTATCATTAATCTACAATTACATGCAGAACATTATGTTTACTAGGCTCCCCCCTTCACCAAGTCCCCCCCCACAATCCCCATTATCTCTAAGGCATTTTTAAACTTCTTTTAAACTTTGAAGTTCAGTGAACATTGTTCAAGGAAAATCTGGGATCCCACACAGAAGAGGAGCCACCTGAGAGGACGGGACTTTCTGGAGCACTGTGTAAAACCAGGCGCGGCTGTTTTCCCCACTGAGAGCCCACAGCGCCTCCTTGTGGACAATCCGATCAAAGAGAGCTGGCTTGCGCTCCACCACCCGGAGACGCTTCCCCCAAGGCGCCTGCCCTGCTGCGCAACCAGGAATGCCTGTTTCCCTACGAGCACGGGCCACCCTGTGAGCAGTCTGCGTTCAGGCGGTACCTTCCTGGAATACACCCTCTCCTTTCACAGTTCATCCCATGCACCCTATTACTACCGTGTCTCACCCCGGTTCCCACTGAGCACACCTCTGCAGTGGAATCTTGCCCAAGCCTGGTCTTCAGCTGTTTCTGGGACATGATACCTCCTCCCTCCATTATATGCCAGAATCAGACCAAAGGTTCCACAGTGTCTTCCCCCTTTCCATGCCCCTTCTAATACCAATAATAATAAAAAAAATACTGGCTTTTAAATTCTCTTTGTGTCCATTATTTTGGGGAGTGTTCAAAAATACTAAGTTTTAGTGTTTACAATGTGTATTTTAATGTTGAACTTTTTTTGCAATGCAAGGCCAGAGGACATAACCTCTACACTTTCTTCTTTTAAAATCTTAAGCCTATGTACCCTCCTTCAGGCCACTGGAAAAAAAGGGCTATATCTCTTTGTAGATATTCAGTAAATGTCTATCAAGTCTACCTAAGTAATTATATTATTCCTACCCTCAAATTCTGATTTCATTCCACAAGATGAGGAGATACTATTTTTTTTGTCTATATTACATCAAGGCTGTTGGTTAAGTCTTAAATTCCCTGTTGCTTTTTGTGGGTGGGGCCAATTATCTTTACCTTTCACTTGTGAGTCTTTACTTTCTACTACTCTTCAACATGCATTGCTCTGATAATGTATTTTATTTACATTCTATTCTTTACAGCATTATACAATAAACCTCTCACTCAGGACTCTCTGCTTTGCATTTGTTCGTGGTCAATATTCATATTACTCATGCTTTCCTGAAGCAATATGCAGTCACATACATTTGATAAGCTTCCTAGTTGTGCTTCTGTGACTTTTCCCTTTTATCCGGCTCTCTAATCGACACTGCATTGCTGATTTCTGCTTCTGAATCCCATCGAAGACTCTCATCCCTCATTTATGACTTCAGACTGTGCCTGTTGTCATTAATTGTGATCTGTGTTCTTTTACAGCCTAGTTTATGCTTTGTTGTGCTCTTTTGTTTACCTTTTACTGCATGAACTACTGTGCTTTCTTCTACCTTTATAAAATTTGGAAGATAAACATTCTATTTTCATTCTGTTAGAGATCACAAAACTGACTTAAAAACTAAGTTTCCTTTGATCCTATTCTGTTTTGTTAAGTTTTTGCATGTGCCTCTGCCAACAGCCTCAGCCCTACAATCAAAGGTCCCTCCAGGGGGAGGAAAGATGGGGTCTGACTTCGGTTTCTACTCATGTTCACACAGTCCTGGTGATTTGGGAAGGCCGCCGCTAGGCCCTTGTGGCATGGTACTAACGGCCCCAAAGCACACAGCGCGCCTGGCGGCGTCAGGACTGGGGCTCCTTCATCATCCCTCAGGTGCTCACCCAAGCCACCTCTCCACTACCTTCTGCTGAGTGTTTCAAGCTCTGTGTTGGCAGCTAAATGTGCTCGTTGTCCCTCCTCCTTGATCTCTGACACATTTCTCCATAACTACCAAACGTTACTTGAATAAAGAGGCTGCGGCAGAGTTCAGTGACGGCTGCGGGCCCCACCCCCTGCTTTCTAGGCCTGTTCTGCCGCCTGATGCTCTGAACTCCCCGTGTTCCCACGGTGAGCACAGGCCGCCCACTGACTCAGCTAATTCAGCAGCAACTGAGCAGCCCACTGAGGCACTGGAGCCCAGGCTGAGAGCCTGTGGGGCCACTTACCTCAAACTGGATCAGCACCGTCCCGCTTTCGAGGCCCTTCTTTAGCTGTCCCATGGATCCCTCCAGAGTGTCCCCTCCCTCTGGACACATGGGGAAAATGGTCTCTGGGAAAAGTTGGTTCAGTTCGTCCTCAGATTTGATCTCAGCAAATGAGTGGACAGCTGTAGTGGACAAGAAAGAGTACATCTCGCTTGTGCAGCAAAGCTCTGATCAGTTTCCTCCAAAAAATTACACTTATGACACCTGAATGCAGATGTTTTAAAGCAGCTTATTAAATGATTAAGCACATGGTAATCATTTTCACCAAAGACACCACTTCTTTTGAATGATTCAATAGGTACTAATTATACAAAATGACATACTAATCTTTCTGGTTCATTTTAAATGATGGTGTTTAGTACTCAGAGGCTTTTGCCAAAGGTAAGGGAAAGAATGTTTTTAAAGAAAACATACCTTCTCCCTGGTGTCCTCTGACCTTGTTACTCGTCTTCCAATCACCTTCCCCCAAATTCCACTTTCAGATCTTTTTCATTTGTTCCCTTAAAACAGGCATTTTTCCCAGACCCTGGTGTGAGGCCTGGCACTCTCTTCATGACACCATTGTCCCAGGAGCTTGGTCAGTCTCTAATTCAAGGCCATTTGTAGGTGGAAGGCTCCCCAGGAAACATCGCTGGGCCTTACATCTCCTCTGAACTTCAACCCTACCTCTTCAGTACAAATTCTCCCTTCATACCCAACTCAGTACGGGAGAAAACAGACCTAAGACCCCTCCCCCCCTGCTCTGCACAGAACTTCCCCAGCCTTACATGCTTTTTTCTGCCTACCATCACTTCCTTCTCCAATCTCCCAAACTGGGAACTTTCAGATCATCTTTGAATTTTCTCTTTCCAACCCGAAAGGAAGTCTTCCCTTACTCAAAAGCCTTCAATGGCTTCCTAATGCCTTCAAGACAGTAGGAAAGGAGAAGAAAGTAGTAACTGTTGCATTTTTCCACATAGTTGAACTGAATCCTCACCATGCTGAGCAGGCTATCATTATCCCCATTTTACAGATGGGGAAACTGAGTCTCATGGCAAAGAACTTGTCCCAAGTTCCCAAACAAACTCCAGCCTGCCAGGGCAGGACACAGGAATTCAGCGCAGACCTGTCTGACCCTAAATCCCACATTCTTCTCCCTGCCCGTGGCAGCTAGGCTCTTGTGCTAGTCCCGGTTTCTGTCGCATCTGCTATTCCTTATGCTACTGTTTATTCAACTTTCAGTCTGCTCAACTCTACTTAAATGTTTATTTTAAAAGTGAATGCACTATCATTACAGCTACAGAAAACCAGTGGCATCCATTTTCTTTATCTCAAGCGGGCGTCAGCCCCTTGCCACGGACTGGTAGGGGACCCCTTCTTCCCAGCCAGGCCAGAGCGCCTCCCGCTGGCCCAGGACAGTCAGCGTGCCACAGGCACTTTGTGTGATGGACAGGCCTGCTTCCAAATCACTGGATCCTTTCACTCCCTCTCATCATGCAGCCTTACCAGCTGAAGGCAGCAGGGCAGCTGACTTAACCTCCCTGCGACTTGTTTCTCATTTCCTCGCTGGGGGTACTAATACTTACCTTATCAGAGCATCATGAGACTGGAAGAGGATAACTGTGTAAAGCACACTGTGAGGTACCTCACTGGGAAGGGGCAGGTAGGGATCTGGAGAGATCCCTTAGTCTTGTGGAGGAGGCAGGATGAAGCTGGCACTAGCTGGACTCGGGGTTTTAGTGGGAACAGAGAGAAGGCAGGTGGTGAAGGATCGGGCTGTGTCTACACCTGGGAGGCCAGAGCAGAGATGCCCGGCTAGGGCTGTCATTTATCTCCAGCATTTCAAAGCTGGGCAGGATTCAAGGACTCAGTGTATTGTTTTACAGCAATAGCAGCAGTAGTAGTGGAGTCGGGAGAGGCCATGTTTCTAACACGTGTCAGTATCAGGCAGCATTCTAGGAGCTTTACCGGTAGAAGAATCATTTAATCTTCACAAGAACCCCAGGAAGTAGTGACTATTGTTAACCTCATTTCACATTAGAAGCAACAAAAATACAGACTAAGAAACTTGCTAGGGGGTCCCTCAACCCAGTAGGAGGCAGACGTGAACCTCCGGGAGGCAGCCAGGATCCTGCTCCACTCTGCCTTCCTGAGTTAAACAGAACTCGATCCTTTGAGAAGGGACTGGAAATGCAAATGTCTGCAGGCAACTGAGAGAGGAATGTGATGTGGACCAAGGTGGGCTTGGGGGGAATCGGGGACTCGCGTCTGTCAAGGGGGTGGGTGCATGCCACCTACCTTCAGAGCACTGGTCACAAGAGACCAGGCCCACGTGGGCACATCTTCACAATTTTCAAGTGAGAAGTCAGGCATCCTGGTTGCCATGCGAAAACTCTTGATTTTTAAATGCTGGCTATAAGCTCAACACTTTCAAAACCAGAGAACGGGCTGGAAGAAGGGCCTGGTGATGGGCCCGCTCTGCTAAGGCCGGCGGGCGCTGCGGCCCCTCCCCCGAGGGCGCTGTTACCTTTCCTCCGGATCACCAGGGCCAGCTCCCGCGTGTGAGACTCCCGGCTGGCTTTGATGAACATCACCACTTGGTCGTGCGTGTGTTCTGAGATGTCACGGCCGTTGATTAACACAATTTGATCCCCTTCGTTCAGCTTAGGAATGCAGGTGTCCGCCTGTGTGGAGAGGAAAAGCAGGTTTCTTCGGTTACCATAGCACAGTCGCAGGGGAGAATGCTGAAGCTTGCAGCGTAGACCCGTGAGACCGTGATCCCGGTCTCCTTTGCTCCCTCAGGCATTGTCGCCATTATTTTTACATCCACTGCTATGTTGACATGGAAGTTGGTCGTGAGATTTTAAAGAAGTGTTGTTTAGAATGTAAGTAATGAAACATTTCAGAATAAGGCTAAGAAAATTACTGAAGCCATTTCTCTATGGCAAAACTTGACATGTTACTGTGATATAATGACCTCGGCATTTGTGATCTTTTGTTTTCTAGATGTGCTGTTAGAATCTGATTTGTCAATTACAGGTGAATATCTATCTGCAATGGAAAAAGCTTTTGTAAGCATAACACCAAAGGCGGAAACCATTACGGAGAGAAGGCTACGCCTGGATAGTGCAAACATGGAAGCCTTCTTCATTCAAAGGCCAAAATCCGTAAGAAAAAGTCAGCTGTGAGCTTAAGGACTACTTAAAAAGGTGCCAAGCTGGTACCTTCTTAGGAGGCAGAGCGACTCTCTGGTGCTCACTGCCTTAGAAAAGCAAATCATCTCCTAAGGAGGCCTAGACAGAAGACTGAGGGAGGGCGGGTGGTGGAAGGGGGGAAGGCGGCACGGGCTCGCGTGCCCAGAGTGAGCAGCAGAGCCATCTCTATGCTTCGGCGGCTTTCTCCTGAACAGTACCTCTGAGCTTTAACATGCACACTGACCACCTGGGGACTGGTTAAAGATGCACTCTGGTTCAGTAGGTCTGGGGTGGGGCCTGAGATTCTGCATTTCTAATGAGTTCCCAGGTGATGCTGGTATAGCAGCTTTGGGCACCACACTGAGCTGCAAGGTGCTGGAAAACATGGACTCCTTTTTTTTCCTGCCATCTATATGTGTGCATTTACACAGACTCTTTGCTGCTGGTGAAAAAGAAACAGGACACCGAAATGGAAATCCGATTTGGGGTAAAACAAACATGGGAAATAATGGAACATGTTTACTTACAGGTGACTCTGGGTTTATCCTTGATACTACAAGAGGCATCTTTTGATCCACTCCCCCCTGTAAACATGTTAAATAAAAAAAAAAACACTTGAGCAGTTCATAGCAACAAAGACATACAGATCTCCTTGACATGAGGGAGGGCTCAAACTTCACTTTAACCTCTTCTCATCCTAGGAGTTGGCCCCCTTTTCAAAATTACAAGGTTCCTGACCCTCTGATTCTAGTGGTCTAACCAGAAGACTGCTCACTGCCCACTGCCACCCCCAAATTCCATAAACTAAAGATGCACTTAGAGGAGCAAGCTCCTTTTTAAAAATGCAAACATCCCCAGGAAGACTCCAGAAACACAGCCTTTAAGTGCTGCTGGAAAGGGAGCTATCAGTGGAGGAGAGAGAAACCCTGGAAAAAAGCACATGCCGTGCGGGCTCCTGCGCTGAGAGAGCAGGCCCGCAGCTGGCTCTGCTGGCAGAGGGGAGCATGAGGGCGGCCGGGCGTGGGCAGCAAAGACCACCTGCCCTCACTCTGCTCTAGAGCAGCGGTAAGAAACTTTTTCTCTAACGTGCCACAGAACAAAAGATTTTAGGCTTCGTGGGACAGAGGGCTCTGCTGCAAGCGCTCAGCTCTTCCACCACAGTGCCAAAGTAGCCAGAAACCCTTGGTAAGTGAACGGCTATGGCTAGGATCCAATAAAACCTGATTTACAGATGGGATTTGGCCTGTGGGCCCTCGTTTGCAGAGGCTGCCTAGAGGCAGGCAGAAGAAGGAGGGCCGTGCAGATGGCCCTGCGACTTGACTGCTGGTCTCCCTCGCCAACTTTAGCGGTGCTGAGGGATGCTCTTAATAAATTATCTTCAGGTGTAGGTCTGCTTGCCAACGGCATGCCTTCAACTCTCTGAACCTTAGTAAGCATCTATAAAATGGGCTTAAAAAATACCAACTTCACCAATGATAAGAACTCACTTAGGTGACAGAAAAAAGTGTGCGGCAAGCACCAAGCGCAGAGCAGGCACTCGGTATGAGGTAGCTCTATGGCCAAATTAAAAAACCTCCCAATTCTGACGGCTGAGCTTATTTTCTTATGTAGCCTTAGGTATACAGCAGATTTCTAATGGAAATCTAAAAGTCATCTGAAGATTGCTTCAGAGTGTAAAGCTTCCCTATAAACAAACACAATATACCTTAAGATTAAATCCAAATTTTCCATCTTCATCTGGTGTGATACGGATCAAGACTAAGTAGCTGTCACCATTATCATTCTGGAAAACATTGGAAAATGGTCAACTATGTGATTTCCCTTTCCAGCAGTTGGTGATTATTTTCTTCTAGTCATAATTACTTAATTGCCCACAGGCGCCTCTGAGTGGGGAAGCCTGGGTGGGTCACACCAGCCACCGGAGCGCCCCAGGCCCTGACGCACCTTGTCACAGTAGTATTGGCTGGAGTCCTCAATGGAGCCCCCTTTGGTCACCCTGTGGAAGTCCTCTAAAAACTGCGGATCAACGCCATCTGGTGAGCAGGAGCCTGGAGCATTTGAAGATGGAGACACAGAACTGGATGACTTCTGGGTCAGGCAGCTTTGTGCTGGATTGTTCTCGGATATACTCCTTCATCATGGGGAAGGAGGAGATATCTTAATAACTGGATGAACATTTTATCATAGCAAGCATTATTGACTGCTGCAGTCTGGCATCCCCGGGTTGTCACGAATCCCTGGAACCGCAGAAGAGCTCCAAAGGTCAACCCCAGGGCTCTGGCACAACCCACAGTCCACTGGGTGCCTTTGCCCCCATCTGGCTGAAATATCGTCACTTTTAGTTTTGGAGAAAAGGGGGAGGAGGGGAAGGTGGATCCAGGAGCTGCTCAAAACTCAGCTTACTTCCCAGCAGCAGCAGCAGCAGCAGGGTTTACGGGAAATGTTCCCAGCTACTCTGGTGGTTTAATTATTGAGGCCCACTTAGATGCATGTGTCCACCCCTCACGAAAGCTTCTTCCTTCTCATTCCTGCTGATAGTGCCACTTTAACAGGACTCTTGGCTACCCCAGGGAAATGGAACTGAAGTTGCATATCCAAGACAATTTCTATTAATCCTAGTTTGCATTATTTGCCTGTGACATCCATTAATTGCCTTTTCTTTAATACAGGTTCTTCTGTTATCTTAGAACTTTCTCTCCAATATTGTAACCACCGGTCACATGTGGCTATTTAAATTTAAATAAAGATTAGAGAGTTCCTTGGTTGTACCAGTCACATTTCAAAAATGGTCAACAGTCACACGCAGCTAGTGGCTCCTGTACTGGACAGCACAGTTACAGAACATTTCCATCATTATAGCAATCTACTGGACAGCAGTGTCAAAGAGAAATACTATTAGACTATTGGAATGGAGCAGGCTTCTGTGGTTGTCTGGTCCAATTTCCATTTCACAGATGAAGAAACTGTGGTCCAGAGAGGCTGAGTTATCTGTGCAACATCACACAGCCTTCCCCTCACTTAAAAGACACAAGTCTGATGGACATGGGTCCCAGAGCATCTCTTCCCTCTCCAAGCCATGACCAGTTGGCTCTGAGATACCCCATCTCTGACCTCACAGGGATTAACCATCTCAGCTGTCACCACAGAGGACACTTGACTTCTCTGTACCTCATACACCCATACTAGACCCTCCCCAGAGCCCTACACCAGCAAAAGACGCTTTGAAAAGCCTATATAATATGAGGTTTTCCTCATGTTCTACACACTCTGCCACATTCTAACTTCACTTGAGGGTAAGTGACGGGAGAGGTGAGTAGATGAAGATTCAGTGAAACATAAACAGATAAAAGATAGCTGCTGCCACCTCTTACTAAACCTTTATTTCAAGCCCTTATCCATGAATTTTTCATTAAATTAGGGCTTCTCTGTTCCCCAGCAAGTTCAAATTAGCTTACTTTAAATATAAAGTCTGCATATTTTCACACAGAATGGTTCAAAAATCTCAATTTATTTGTATATGAAGAATTCAGTGACAGACCAATGTGTAAATTATATATGCAAGGGAAGAATTTGGCCTTTTGGTTTTCAAGTTGCTAATTTGGAAGGGTGTTATTGATAGGAAGGCATTTCAGAGACAGGATGTTTTGGAACTGAAGCTATAGACTAGTGGTAAGTTTTCCGATTAAAAACAAGTATTATTTTAATTAACTTAAAGCTAAAAAAGATTCCCCCAGAGTAGGGCAACTTTGCTGTTTTAATGTTTGCAAGAACACCCCCTAGCAGCAGAAAGGACAACTGCTTGGCAGTTGTGAGATAAAAATCAAGCCAAAGGGGTTTAGGAAACGCTATTTCCAGCTCTAGGGATGGAGCTGAGCCTTTAATATGAAGTTGCAAATAGCATACACACCTCAACGTCTGGAAGACTCCACAGGGTGATAGTGATGGAAAGGGTGAAGGGCATGTGAACAAAAAACCAGAAGAGCGAGGTGACAAAGCCAAAGAGAACAGACTAATGTCAGTACAATTCTAATATTTTATATCCATTGTATTTATTTTTAAAATTTTGGTGGTGTGGATTATGTCATAGAAGCTTTTAAAGTATTTTTCAGTATAAAATGTAATGGTCTATCTAAAACAGCCCACAGTGCTAAAAGTAATATAGTCAAAGTCACTATGTGTCCAATCCTATTTTCTAAGTAGGGACGGAGAGGTTACCTTTAGATAGTAATTGATTACACATAGGATGGTATTGTTTTGGTTGATCAACTGTGTGCAGACGTTCCCTGTAGGCTGCAGCAATGTCCTGCTCAGCGTGGAGGGTGGACAGACAGACAGTGGGGAGGACACCAAGTGTGGAGAAGCACAAGGTGGCAGCCGGATGCCGCACAGGGATGCCTGGAGTGAGGATGCCAAACCAGGGGGCTTCTCCCCTCCCGGGACAGGACACGAGGGGCTCCTGCGGGAGAGCCTGGTGGGGAGGCGGGAGAGATGCGGGCAGCCAGGGTTCTGGCAGGTGGGGGGCTGCCCGTGAAGAAGGGAAGAAAGGGGCGGGATGACGGAAGCAGAGGACAGCGCTGGCTGCATATTAGGGAGCGGGGAGGAGGGGCAAAAGGTGTGTCCCTGAGGTGGGGTGAGCGGGGGAGGCGGGGCAACCTGAAGGGGACCGAGGGGCTGAGCACTCCAGCTGCCTGGGGACAAAGAGAAGAGGCAGAGACAGACTGACTGACAGGTATTTGTCCTCAGGAAACAGATGATTCAGAACTGTAACTGTAATAGATTTCAAAACAACAACCATGAGATAATTCATTTCCCTGAAGAGAGGCAATGTTAAAGGAATTAAAATGGCAGGGCTGCCCATGAAAGACAGACTCCCGCGTGACGCTTTGTATACCACTCCTTCCTAAACCACAGAAAAGTATAAAGACCTCTGCCCCCAACACCCCTCCCCCACTCCCGTGAACTTTGACATGGAACGGGTTATGCTCCCACTGAGGCTTTCAAAGTCCTAACTGGGTGACTGCAGGGGGCATATGCTGTGGCCATGGGACAGAACAGGGGCCGATTTGTGTTGCATTTCTCTATGAGCTTCTGGAGGTCAGGAAAGACCCTAGTCTTGTTTCTGTTCCTCTCCTAACACACTTAACACACAGCCAGGTGCTCTAAGATGTGGAGTGAGTGAAGCGCCTGGGTAGCGGGGCTGAGCGAGCTCCTACACTGCTGGCTGGCTGGCAAAGGGGATTCCCGAGGTCCCTTCCAATGCGCAGAAGCTGTCTCAAAACTCTTCCAAATAGTGGTAAAATATGCATAATATAAATTCACCACCTTAACCATTTCTAAGTGTACAGTGCAGAAGCTTTAAGGGCATTCACGTTGTCGTGTGCACTTTGAAATAAAAAGTGGCAGGTGCCCTGTGGAACGAGGCAGGCTCTAAAGAAAGAGGCAAGCAAATAGCAAAGGCATGACAATGACATGAAGCCTCATGCACTCTGGGGACCTGTTAAAATAGCTGGGATAAAACAACAAAGTTCTTCAGATACCCCTCTTATCTGCCCTAATATTTGTTTTCCTCCAGTTTCTGCTTTGCAAAGTCATTTTTTCCATTGGGGAACTTCTCCTCCTAAGTTTCTGGAGGACGGTGGTGGTGGTGGGTGGGGGGTTGTTTTTGTTTTTTGGCCATGAAGGAAACTTTCTTCTCTGCAGATTTTGGCCTTCGCTCTGAGCAAGGAAAGGAACACAGGATGGCTGAGAGAACCTTGGGAGTAACAAAAGAGTACAGCCTACTTAGGCACAAAGCAAACTGCCAAGGATTCATAACCATAATCACAAACTTTGCTGTGCTGCTATAAATATGGAACAAACCGGAGGGTGACTCATTTGCTAAGATCATGTTCAGAGAGCCCGAGCTGCACCACTTTGGGTTTAGAGCCAAAGTCGAACCACTCTTTTCTTTCTTCCCCTCTTTCCTCTTGTTTAAATGGTACAGAACATCATGCTTAATTCTTCTAAAGAAACCCTCCTCGCCATCTGTGATATTATTCATCTGATTTCTCTGACAGACTCCTTCTTTTTGCCTCTTAACACAAGTTGACTGTATAAAACATGTCAAACATTTCTTAAACATTTTGCAAATAGTCGCTGAAGTAACCACCGTGGGTTTTTTTTCACCAAGTATAGAGCAACCTTTTCTTCTTGCTTTGAGCAGTGAGGGCCCCCAACTCTCAGAAAGGCCAGTTGCCTCTGAAAGCCCAGCAGAAGGTGGCTTCCTGCCAGCAGGAAGGGGGCCTCTACCTGTGATTTTTCAACTGTTTCCCCAGTTGCAAAGCACAGCTGCTAGGCTGAGTCTGTGAGATGCCTATTGTCGGCACACCTGGCATGGCCATGACAAGGAAGGCTGCCTTGAATCACCATTATTTGCTAGTTTTAACATTTAGCTGCAAAATAAACAGTGCCTCAAGATGACACATCTTATGAGGTCTAGATGCTCTCCAATCCCATGGTGGACCACAGGGGGAAAATCTCACATAGGACATCTGTTAGGCTTTGGTGACACACTCTTCTCCTTTTACCAAAGTGCCAGAAGCCCATAGTGCAAAGATGAAGGCTGATAATGTGCTATTTGCCCAACTGGCCTGGAGGCCCCTGAAGGCAGAGACTTGTCTAATTCTCCTTGATTTCCTTTAATGAGCAGCATATGTGCAGACTCAGCACTTAACATAGCCCTTTAAAAGGTGTAGAGATCACTGGACACAATTAATCTCCACCTGGCCCAGGTAAGTGCCGTTAGTAGCACTTTCTGTAACAGCGCAAATGTATTGTATCTGTGCTGTTCAGATCTCAGCCTGTACTTTGGCTTCTAAACCCTTTATACTGTTTAAATGAATCGGAAAAAAACTGATCAGCTGTCAGTATGGCCTGTTATTTATCCCTTGAGAGCTTGAGTCCATTGCCTACATGTGGTTCTTGAGCACTTGAGGGTTGGGGGATGGAATTTAATTTTTATTTTAAGTAATGTAAGTCTGAATAGCCACATGTGTGGCTACTGTACTAGACAGTGAAGGTCTAGATGCTGCACAGTTCCATGATGGGACGCAAACCATAGTTGGAGGATATGACATGGAGTGTATGACCAGGCTTCCCAGAGCCCTTGGTCAATTCCCTAAACCCTCTTTACTCTTTCACCAAAATGACAGACTCAAACTGGCTCAAGTCATGCACGCCTGCACTCCTGCCTTATGTAGCTAATTTGCAAAACCAAAGTGTCATACAAAGGAACTCACACCTTTCCACCACTGTAGCCTCACCAGGGCTGCAAGTTGGAGCAAGACATAGTGATCATTTCAACAAAAGCATCATCCAAACCCAGGTCACAAGGAAATAATGACCAGAGGATTACTTAACCAGAGGTGTTAATAACATAGATAAGCTGGAAACCATGGTTGCTAAGGTCAGGGACAGCAGAAAGGTAGCAACCTCACACAGAAGTGGCAAGTGAGATTTGCAATTCACCAATGATGGCTAGAGTACAATCAGGATGTATTTAATGATTTAATGCGAGTAGCAGAGAGTGGTAAAAATTTACAGATTAACTCAAGTGACTTTTCTCTAATCCTTTACTATTAGGGGAGGCATATTTCTCTATTTTGGGCATCATATAGAACTTAATGGAATGGATACCCAGTGACTGTGGCTGACTTCCTAATAGTTGATTCATTCCTATTATACTTTAGCTTAAGATGTCATTTATTTATGATCTGTCTTGTCTGCATTAAAAAATGATTTGAGGTAGCTTACCCTAAAATGCATAGATACGGCAAAACTGTGGTCTCATTAAAACAAGAGAAAAAAAAAATAAGACCTATTAATAAGGCAAGGAAGGAAGGGCAGGGACTATATCAGGAACCTGAGTTAATGGAAGCCAATACAATTGAGTATAACATGAGCTCTGAGCCAAAAAGGGAACTAGTGAATTAGATATATCTTATTGAAAAATGAAAGGACTCAAGCCAGTGTTTAGGGAGAGAGATTTTTTTCCTGGCCTTGAGATGCACAGGGAGATTCTTACATTAAAAAAAGGGAAGTGGGGCCATAAAAGAATTTAAAGCAAACTGATGAAAATTTGTAACAAAGAAAATCAGAGATGTTCCTTGTATATTTTTCATACTAACTATTCATTAAAAATTAAAAGAAAACAATAACCCTGACAACATACTGTAGATCTGAGGCGGCTTTCTGTGGAAAGGCAGAAATAAGTCTATTCTCAGTGATCTGGAATCCTGCAGTGGTAAAAGTTGGACAATCTAGAGATATACTACTGCAGTTAACATGGCTACACCTCTGGAATAAGAAGTGATTTAAAATGGGCTTTGCTCATGAACTGGAGAGGAGAATATTCAACAGAGCTAACCTATATGGAAAGTAGGTCTTTGTTGTAGACAAAAATTAAGTGAAATCTCTAGACCCTGAACACACAGCTTGTCTTCCTGTGATGGAAGGAGGGGTCTAATTTATGAGCACTCTAGGGAGCTGGCCACAGGCTCAGCCCTTGATGCCTCTTAAATGGACTGAGCAAATTCCTCAACAGCCAAAACAAGCAGATACACAGAATGAGAATAAGCCAAGTTTCTTACTCTCTCTGTGGGCTTCGGTTCTGAGAAACCTCGGAATCGCTGTCTTTCGGGGACAGGGAGCCCTTGTATGTGTAGAACACATCTTCGGTTTCAGTGATGTATGTCATCTCGTTGGCTAGGTTATCTGCAGAAGAATGCCGTGGCTTTCGGATCTCATGCCGGAGCCGAGGACTTCGCCTGGGGGAGGGAAAAAGGCTGAATGCGAAATACTGAAAGCAAATTCCACTTAAAAATTGTATCAGGTACCAGAGATCTAACTTTGTGCCCTGACTTTTCTAAGAATGCCTGAGCGAATGCTGTTGGAAATTAGGAGCCAGTAACCCATTCCTGTACCCGAATCCACCAAAGGCCTCGTGGGGCCCCCAGTACTCTCAGCCCATAGTGCAGTCCCCCAGAACAGTGGCATCAGCTTTATAAGTCAGCAGATGAGATTGGTTTATGCCCTGTGGGAAGTGATGAGTGCTGATTTAGGGTGAGTTAGTCTTCAAAGAGGACTCAAGCTCTCAAGGGATAAATAATAGACCATATTGACAGCTGATCAGTTTTTTTCCGATTCATTTGAACAGTATAAAGGGTTTAGAAACCAAAGTACAGTTTTTGGCAAAATTCATGTCTTATTTCAACTACATCCCTTCATGTGAATTTCACTTGATCCAAGGAACGTTTGCTTTTAAAAATACATCCCTCTTGTGGTGTGAGAGAGGCAGAGCAGCACCACCCTGTTCCCCTGAGAGCACTGGTAGCTTTGTGGCCTTAGGCAAGTAGAACCACCTCTCTGGGCCTCAGTTGCACCTACCTGCTCCTGAGAATGCATGAAACAAGGAGATGTTCTCAGGATGCCTGACGCAGCACCTGGGCATCCACTCCTGTGGCTGGGATCCCAGGCTGCCAGGCTTTCTGAGTCCTGCTTCCCTTCCGTTTTTCCACCTCTCCTTCTATTAGCCATTTCTCCTTGGGACTGTCGGGGCCTCCACCATGTGCAGTCTCCCCGGCCCCAGATAAACAGTAACAACTACATCCAAAGTGGAGTAGAAAGGCTTGTGACACCTCAGGAGAGGACCTATAAATAGCATTAAGAGTCCAGGCCACGGGTGCGGCAATATCGAACCCCACTGTTCTGCTGGGTGCTGTCCTCTGCTGCTGCTGCTTAAGGGATGTTCATTCGGACATATTAAGGGACTACTTTATAGACTAAATTTACCACTTTAAGATGAGATGTCTAAATCTTGGGACCCAAGAAGCAAATCTACTTAGTCATGCTATGATTTCTAACACTAAATACCATCATCATCCCTGCCCAGAGCATTTGGGCCTAGTGAAGGGGCCTTACCCAGCAGCCCTGCACAGTTCCTTTCTGTGTCTACCTTTAGAATGTCCCTCAGTCTTAGCAGATCCCTCCTTGGGAAGCAGACTCACTCTGTTGTTCACGAAATGATCAGAAAGCCACACTCTTATCCCAGCATGGAGCTGGGGCAATGTTTTCAGCTTGGTTTCTGCTCCTGCAGATGATGCCTGGCTGTTCTGGAAGCCATAAAAATGGCCTGACATCTTTGGAGAACATTATAAAAAAATAATAATAATAGTAAATCTACCTGATCCTTTTTTTACAGCTTACAAAAAGCACTTGTACATGATCATTTCATTTGTGGTGATTTTTATGACTCTTTTCACAAATGGGAAGACTGAGACCAGAGAGGTACAGAAACTTGTTAATGAACAGAAGAGCCAAAATCTGAGTCTGGATCTTTTAGGTACAAATTCAGTGCACTTCCCCGTTTTGCAAAATTGCCACTTCCTTCCCTTTAAGCTGAGTCCCTGACCTTAAGAGGTGGCAGGCTACTTCCCTGTGCACATTTGCTACTATTGCTGCAGGTCACACACCCTTGTGTCAGTCTCATCACATACCTTTATTAGGTTTTCTCAAAGTTTACTTTATGTGATGGTAATGGGAACTGTAAGATTAAATAAAGCTAAATGTATGTCTTTATCACAGGGCTTCTCGGAATGTTACTGTGCTAGAGTGTGCTGTAATCCCAAGAGAAGAATTCTGGCAGGCTGTAGTTCTCAAACCTAGACCGAGTCATTTTTTGAAAAAGAACACCCCAGCATTATACATGAAAGAAAATGTTGGCTAGACTTGTGCATTTCATGAAAAAGGTTACTTCTGCAATAGTCAAATGTGTAAAGGTAGTTCTGATTGTAGGATGTCTATACTGAGGAATTTATTTTTTATTTTGGAAGAGATGAAGTGTTTACTGGTGGGTAGTACAAAAAAAGGACATACCAGTTGGGAGTAACAGGAGGGGACCGAGAAGGTAGACTCTTGGTTTCTAAATGTTCCACTGATAAAGATCTCCGCATGGCTGGGTTCCATACCATCCCTCCAATCACTTTTTTGCAATACTGGTTATTTATAGACCTGAAAAACCAGATGCAGGTTCACTTTCTACACTGACATGTTCAACAAGGAAGAAATTACAGTGTAAGTGAAACACTCTACACATGCTCAACTCCCTGAAGGTTGACTGGCTATCACCTTGGTGACACCTGCCAAGGTTACTAGGAGTAGAGGTACACCATGGGTCAAAAGTTATTCCTCTCTGTCCTGGCTTTTTCTTATGTAATCTCTTCTTTTCTAGTGAAAGTATTTTCTTGTCCTTACTACTACTGCAAGCACCAAGATGCTGTCAGAGTATACCCAAACCTTACCAGATGAGGAGTTTCAGTGTAACATAGAAATATGGCTCGAGTAACTTCAAGGAACGCTCACTTTACTCACACTGGCCTGAGTACGAACATCAGCCATCCTCCCTGGTGCTCTTCACTGCCCTAGCTGGCAGAGGCCATCACTGTCAATCCCCGATAACTCTTTGAGCAAAGACATGAGAATATGCTTAGACCATGTTCTCTGAATGTGCCATGCCGAAGATTACTTCTGAATTTTACCTATACCTAGAGAATTTAAATCTTAGCTATACAGATCCCTGACAGAATGATATTTGAGAGGAAGCCAGTTTAGGGGAAAGTCAGTTCTGGCAATTTCTAAGTTCTAAACAATGTCTTACTAAAACATTCCATAGATCTCCTGGCACCCTAAAACAAATAAACCAACAAAAAGCAAAAGAACAACACAAAATACCCCCTAGAATATCAATGTAGTTATTTACAATAAGAAATACTATTTCACCCTGATCAAAATGATCTCACTAGGAGACTCTAACATTATAAATCAAATTACCATTGATTGAGAGCATAGCATTAGAACAAAAGGAACAAGCTAGATGATTCAAAGGTTTAATGTAGCAGTTCCCCAAAATATGTGTCACAGGTAACTAATAGGTACTCTTAAAAAAAAAAGTTCCATTATCCCATAAGTTTGGAAAATTTACTGAATGCATTTCCCTAAGTAGAACCTTGCAGGAGGCCCAATATGCAAATGTGTAGATGTATCTCTAGGGATTGGCAGATCACATAACCTTAGGCCTCAGTTTCCTCATCTATAAAATGGGGATAATAAGGTCATAAATTTGCAGTACCCTGAAACTAGTCCTGGTAGTAAAGAGCTGCCTACTAGTGCTCCCAAACCACCCCTAATATTTCAAGTGACCTCAAGTGTGCAAGCTCTTTGATTCTTGAATCCAGGCTGGCCTGTGACTGCTTTGACCAAGAGTAGCCGAATGCCAGTTCTGGGTTTAGCCTTTAGATGACTGGCTGCTTCTGCCTTAGGCTCTTGGCGCCTGGAGCCTCTGCATAAGAAATCCATCTTATGGAGTGTATATGAAGAGCCCTTGAGAATACAAGGAGAGGGTGAGGGGCCTAGGTGAGTCCAGCCTTCCAGTTATTCCATCACTGTACCAGGTATGTGAGACCCTCAGACCAGATCAACCACTTATCACCAAGAAACCCCAGTCTATACCACATGGAGCAGAAGTTGGCGGCCAAGACCTTCCCAAATTCCTCACCCACAAGACCTTGAGATATGACAGAATGGTTATTGCCTTAAGATACCAAAATAGGGGTGGCTTATTAGGCCACAGTGGATAACTAGAACCCGTTAGCTACATTCTACTGATGAGAAAATTAAAACAGCCAATTAAATTGACACAGGTAGGATTTGAACACAGGTGGCTCAGCAACAGAGCCTTTGCTCTCAATTGCTTTCACTATGTCACCTCTCAGAGCTGGCCCAAAAGATTAATCCCAACCCATATAAATACTACATCCCAGTTGGTTATGTTCATGACTTGCCAGTAACAGAGCTACTGAATATATAAAAATACTAGACAGTATGATAAGAGCTAAAAATTTTTAACACATATTTGCCTTTGGTTCATCAGAAGCTGAGACAGAGTATTTTGTACCATAAATATTATCATTTATATTAACAAAAATTTGCTACTTACTGAGTCTACAGTTACTAATGACTATCAGTATAATAGGAAAGTCACTGGACTAGTCCGATAGTCCCACATACCAGACAATGGCTCAGACAGGGGTGTTAGTAACAGCCCATCAGCAACAATGCAAAATTATGAAAGCAATTTTTCAAACCAATTTAGGATTATAAGAATAATTGGATAAGCAATTTCTGTCATATCTTGTACTCAGAAGGTGGTCTCAGAACAAATGAATAAACACAAATATAAACTGTATTGTTAGTTTATCTAGAAAATAAATTCAGATTAAAATTTAGATGAAATTACAAGTTGAAACCTTATAGATTAATTTCTCTCACTGTACTACTCATTACATACTTTCAATAAGATTTCTTTAGATAACAGTATGCATGGGATTGTTGTAAGAATTAAATATAATTAAGTATGTGTATGGTACAAAGTAAGCATTCAATAACTGTCAGCTGTAGTTATTACTATTATCTCGTGGTTGCTATTATGTAATATATCCTAAAGTTACTTGACTTGGGAAATCTTTACTTCTGATCATTCATCCATTATTACTGAACATCTTACAGAATATTCTGTGGGAGATGCTGTCTAGGTGGGTACAGGCCAGGAAAGCCCATATGCCAGGCACCACACGACCCTCAGAGTCACTACCACGGACACTTACTGCTTCCCTTACTGTGACATGGTGTGGGAGCAGCTGCAACTCTGGCTGCCTGGGGGCTACGAGGACAGCAGAGTTGAGGAGGCAGAAAGGAACGACGGCAATGAGAAGCACCTGACTATGTTCGGAAAGAGACCTCCGACCGTGGTTCTGAGGCCCAGTGCCTGGGCCCCTGTGTGATGGAATCCCTTCCCCTGACGGAGGAGGTCAACTGCCCAGCCGTCACCAGGACATGTTCTCACCACGGTCTAGTGTGGTGTGGACACTGGCCCTAAAGCATACTCACTTTTTGGGGTTCCTAGAGCCCATAGTCCAGTACTGAGACACAACATTCTTTTCCTGAGGTAGTAGCTTCTTTGCCTGAAAGAATGTATGGTGCTCGACACAGGATTTCCATAAGTTTTTGCAAGATCGGTAATTTAACATGTTGAAGGCCACAATATGTTCCCTGGATTCAGTCTGAGAGGAAAAACATAGTAGAGATTTCATCTACATAGATGTAGGGGCAAGACTTCACAAGCATTTTATGCCCACATCATTGGTAAGCAGGTAGGATGCAAGAGAAAACTGGCTTCCGGACGCCTCAGGCCACCAACCAGTGTCACAGGAATATTCAAGAGAGCATTTGCCAACCACCTTACGAACACACTAAAGATGACAAGAATCTGCTCTTTATCATCATTTGCGGTCTCTCATGAACACTTTCATTTCAGATGTGCTTTCATTTCTAGGTTGGATATATTTGGAACAACCAGGTAAGGGCTATTTGATACATTTCTTTTAAAATTTAGCTCTGCGAAAAATCTCTCCTAAAGAAATAACCTTCCACCTATCAGACAACAGAAATTGTATAACCCTTTGGATTTTTCTCTTTGCACAGAGTCAAGTCAAGTGCTCATATATAACAATCATTTCAATTATTTCCTTTACCTTCATCCTAACTTGAATTTAAGTTTTCTGCTTTCCTATTAAATTACCCTCTTGTGTGTTTTTGTGCCACCTTGAATCCTGCACAGGGCCAGGGGTATTAGGAGACCCAGATTCTAGTCCTAGTTTACTCTAAGCTTTAGTATTTTCACCCAAGTGCTTATTGCTCAGTGGAGATATTTAAAGTTACATATTACCTTGGAAAAACTGGGAAATGGACACAGTGACAGTAAGTGAAAAACATGTAGCATAACAAGATAGAGTGTGGTGTCTCGGAAAGAGCAGGCGTCTCGGACTCAAACTCCAGCTCTTGTGGGAGCCTATTTCCTCACTTACAAGTCCTCCTCCATGTGGGCAACCAAACTGAGTTACCAAGAGTGCCGTGGACCCCTCTTATGAGACACACATGAAGGCTGCTGGGCACTTCCACACATCAGGGGAAGGGACTGACCCTGCACACATTCACTGCTACTCTGCGTGGGCTCTGTGCCAGCTGCTCTGACCAGTGCTCTTTAGTTTAATCCTCATGATGCCCTGAGAAGTGGGCATTATTGCATTTCTGTAAACAAGGAGAGTTGGGCTAGGGGAGGCTAAATAACCTGCCCAGCTGTTAAGTGCAGGAGCTAGACTCTGAACCAGTCGTCTCTGACTCCAAATCACGTTCTTTCTCCAGCCAGAGAAGCAGAGAGAATTACACAGAGAACTGCTGGGTCCTCTGGACTCTGATTTCGGTTTCCTTTCCACCCCACACCATGCTCTTTCTTCCCTGTTATACATATGGCAAACTATTGTCGCCCACCAAAGAACTAAGAGCTGAAGCAGTTAAAAACACAAGGAACAAAGCAAGCAGGAATATAACTTACCTGTTTTTGTCGCTGATGTATAAAGAACTTTTTCCTTTTGAAAGAAATTTTTAGGATGTTCACCCTGCAAAAAAATTTTTAAAAATACAAAAAAAGCACATAGGGATCGGCCAGGTTGTAGCTGATGCCTCTCAGTGTGTGCCCTCTATTCCATGATGATGATGACGAGAGGCTCTCAGCTTGCTTGCTAGGGTTTACTTCACGGTGCACATGGGGGCAGGCCCATTGCCTTGGCCAACACCAAGTAGCTGACTGACGTGGAGTATCACACTAGAGCGACTGGATCATGATGCAGCTTTTAAATAACAAGAACCCCGGGCAACGTGCTCTCTGCTGTCAGCCGCTTTTGTGACACTGCAGCTCTGCCGGAGCTGGTGTGTACCTGGGGAGGACAGCTGAGGGCAGTGTGGAGCAGGAAGAGGACAGACAGCAGCCTGACAGACCCCAGTCCACATCCCAGCTCCGTTACTTAATAGCTGTGTGTCATGCGGCCTATTGTTTGCATCATAACACAATTACATATGTAGTCACCATTAAACGAGCATTTTTTATATGCCAGGTCCCCTACCAAAAGCTTTACAAGCAGTCCCTCAGCCAAGCCTTGTGACAGTCCTGAAAGGTACACATAATTACAGTTAGTTTTCAGACAAGGAACCTGGGGCTGAGAGATACCACCTAAGTACTTAAGGTCATTCAACTGGGAATGCGTGGAGCCAGGGTCTGCGCCTGTGTTCTTAAGTCCTCTACTATGAAGTCTTCCAAACGGTGGGGACAGCACTGCCTTTCCCCCGGAGTTGTCTCATGAGGATTCAAGTCTGGTGGGTCCCCTGAGTTTTTAGACCAGAACTGAACACTTGGTAAAAGTTCAATGACTAACTAAGCACTGATAATGCAGTTCCTGCCCAGAGAAGTTCTCGAAATTCTGCCTGGGGACTCCTTAGCTGCAATATCTGCCTTGCAACATTTCATCCATATTTCCAGAGTATCCCAACCCACTGGGTTTTAAGTTTTCTGCTTTCCTATTAAATTACCCTCTTGTGTGTTTTTGTGCCACCTTGAATCCTGCACAGGGCCAGGGGTATTAGGAGACCCAGATTCTAGTCCTAGTTTACTCTAAGCTTTAGTATTTTCACCCAAGTGCTTATTGCTCAGTGGAGATATTTAAAGTTACATATTACCTTGGAAAAACTGGGAAATGGACACAGTGACAGTAAGTGAAAAACATGTAGCATAACAAGATAGAGTGTGGTGTCTCGGAAAGAGCAGGCGTCTCGGACTCAAACTCCAGCTCTTGTGGGAGCCTATTTCCTCACTTACAAGTCCTCCTCCATGTGGGCAACCAAACTGAGTTACCAAGAGTGCCGTGGACCCCTCTTATGAGACACACATGAAGGCTGCTGGGCACTTCCACACATCAGGGGAAGGGACTGACCCTGCACACATTCACTGCTACTCTGCGTGGGCTCTGTGCCAGCTGCTCTGACCAGTGCTCTTTAGTTTAATCCTCATGATGCCCTGAGAAGTGGGCATTATTGCATTTCTGTAAACAAGGAGAGTTGGGCTAGGGGAGGCTAAATAACCTGCCCAGCTGTTAAGTGCAGGAGCTAGACTCTGAACCAGTCGTCTCTGACTCCAAATCACGTTCTTTCTCCAGCCAGAGAAGCAGAGAGAATTACACAGAGAACTGCTGGGTCCTCTGGACTCTGATTTCGGTTTCCTTTCCACCCCACACCATGCTCTTTCTTCCCTGTTATACATATGGCAAACTATTGTCGCCCACCAAAGAACTAAGAGCTGAAGCAGTTAAAAACACAAGGAACAAAGCAAGCAGGAATATAACTTACCTGTTTTTGTCGCTGATGTATAAAGAACTTTTTCCTTTTGAAAGAAATTTTTAGGATGTTCACCCTGCAAAAAAATTTTTAAAAATACAAAAAAAGCACATAGGGATCGGCCAGGTTGTAGCTGATGCCTCTCAGTGTGTGCCCTCTATTCCATGATGATGATGACGAGAGGCTCTCAGCTTGCTTGCTAGGGTTTACTTCACGGTGCACATGGGGGCAGGCCCATTGCCTTGGCCAACACCAAGTAGCTGACTGACGTGGAGTATCACACTAGAGCGACTGGATCATGATGCAGCTTTTAAATAACAAGAACCCCGGGCAACGTGCTCTCTGCTGTCAGCCGCTTTTGTGACACTGCAGCTCTGCCGGAGCTGGTGTGTACCTGGGGAGGACAGCTGAGGGCAGTGTGGAGCAGGAAGAGGACAGACAGCAGCCTGACAGACCCCAGTCCACATCCCAGCTCCGTTACTTAATAGCTGTGTGTCATGCGGCCTATTGTTTGCATCATAACACAATTACATATGTAGTCACCATTAAACGAGCATTTTTTATATGCCAGGTCCCCTACCAAAAGCTTTACAAGCAGTCCCTCAGCCAAGCCTTGTGACAGTCCTGAAAGGTACACATAATTACAGTTAGTTTTCAGACAAGGAACCTGGGGCTGAGAGATACCACCTAAGTACTTAAGGTCATTCAACTGGGAATGCGTGGAGCCAGGGTCTGCGCCTGTGTTCTTAAGTCCTCTACTATGAAGTCTTCCAAACGGTGGGGACAGCACTGCCTTTCCCCCGGAGTTGTCTCATGAGGATTCAAGTCTGGTGGGTCCCCTGAGTTTTTAGACCAGAACTGAACACTTGGTAAAAGTTCAATGACTAACTAAGCACTGATAATGCAGTTCCTGCCCAGAGAAGTTCTCGAAATTCTGCCTGGGGACTCCTTAGCTGCAATATCTGCCTTGCAACATTTCATCCATATTTCCAGAGTATCCCAACCCACTGGGCAACTAGAGGGAAGGGGATGTCAATGGAAATCAAACGAATTTTCCCAAGTGCTGAATCTGGATCAAATTTAGAGGTAAAAACCTTGAGGAAAAGTCTCTAACCCTTCTTTGGAAATTACAGTTTAAAATTAGAGGTAACATTATTTTTGTTCAGCGTATTTTTAAAGCATGATTCAGAAAATAATTAGAACTGGTTTGCACTTACCAAGGATAGAAACTTGTGCAAATATATTTTCGGTACACAGCAATGCCCGCAGAAGCGATTCCAATCATTAGATCTAAGTTGTGCAGATCCTAGACAAAAAGGAAGATCTCAGATTCACAGCATGTTACAGTCATGCTTATGCCCTCTGGGAACTCCAGCACCCACGCTTTTATAAATAGCAGTATGTATAAGCTCCAAAGGGAAAATGTTATGGAAAACAGGCGAGCACCAGATTCTTCTGGTGATCACACCCTGCCTAATGGCCAACACCTGGGTCCCACCAGTTTAGAAAGTCACCAGATAAGCGCACCCACTCAACAGAGTCTTGAAACGAATATTCAATTTTATATTTACAACAATTAGGGTTAGATATCATTATTACAATCAGAAAGGCCTCACCCCTGCACAGCTTTAAACAGATCTCAACTCCTGAAAAGGCTATAGCTATTATAATGAAGTGTAGAACTGGTGACTCTAAAACCAATTAATAAATATTGCTTATAAATCCAAAATAGTCAACATTTATTAAGAGCCTACGAGCTAGGGATTGCCATAGACAATGAAGATACAGAAGGAAGATATAACGACTACAAGCTCTTTTAAATCTGTTTGGGAACAAGGTGAGTATTATAAGTGGACAAAAATTTAATAAAACATTTCCTTCCCCTAAGTTATCTATATTCCTATTTACCCCATTAATACTTGTAATTATAAAGAAGGGGCAGAGTGCGACTCAGTTACCACTGAGCACGAACCTGAGGTTTACCACTTAACTAGTTGTGTTATTTTGGGGGACTGAGCCTCAGTTTTTTCTTATGCACAATGAAGATTATAGAAACTACCTTCAAGGGTTTTAGGAGGTTGAAATTAGAGAACAGAAGAATGTACAACAGGGCATGGCATTAGGTAGGTATAATAAACATTCGTTCCCTTTTGCCTGTCAAGAGATAATGGGACAAATCCCTTATGAACAGTGACATGAACACAGGGAATTCAAGAAACTGGCCAAAGCAAACAGTGCTGAAGCCATGGCAAGTTGAGAGAGTATTCACTACTGGGCCCCTGACTGAAATTCCGTGCTTAAAGCTAAACCACGTTTGCATGTGAAAACGAGGATTGCATTGAAACACGATGCCTGTGATCAAAATATAGGGGAATAGTAAGCAGGTGGGAGAGGAAAACAAATTACCAAGTGAAATCAAAATTGAGTGCAGAATAAATAAATGAATGGCTTTGGGGGAGCTGTGACCTGGACCTCAAATCTCCTGGTTCTGGGGACTTTCATCTGTAACTCAACCCTGGCAGTCTGGATAGTTATTGCTCACTAAATTCCCTTGCCCATCCCCATTTCCCAGCTCCACTTGTAGAAGGCAGGGCCATGTGACTAGTCATAGCCAATGTGCTGTGAGCAGAAGTGATGTGTCTCTTCAGGGCCCAATCGTTTAAGAGCTGACATGCAACCCTCAAGCTTCCTCTTCCCTTGTGGCAGGAATGAGGCTACGTGTGAACTTGGTGAAGACACAAGACAGAAGCAACCTAGACTGCTGAGTCACTGCACGGAGCAGGAATGCCCTGTAGAGTGGCAGGGGCAATCACAGACTTCCAATTACTGAGAAAAGAACTTCATAGTATCAAGTTATTGATATTTATGGGGTTTTGGTTGATAGAGTGCAGCCAGGGATAACCCAACTCCCTCTGACACACTGGGGGTGTCAGCCAGGCAGGTAATCATCTGGGCTCAGGACCCGCAATGGGTCTGGGGTACAGAGAGCACCGATCAACTTGGACAGATGTAAAGCCCTCTTCACCACTGAGGAAAGTTTGCCACAACATTCTATTACAGACAAAATAATATTTGCAAATGGCATAAAAATTAATGGTGAAGTTCTGAAGTTGATACTTTGTGAGATCCCATAACGTTTTCCTAGTTTATTACCTATGTCTTAACTTGCCTGTTGCAGTTATGGGACTGAAGTGAGACAAAAGAAGCAAAAAGTGGTTCTATGAATTGCAAAAAATACATAGCTGCAAAGCTTTGGTCACTTAACTTCCTTGAGCCTCTGTTCTCTCACTTGTAAAATGGGATGATTAGGATACCCATTTCATAAAGTTGCTATAATCTTCAAATGAGATCTATGGTCTCATATGAAAGTATCTGGAACAATGGCTAGTACGTCATACTTGGTGTTCAATATTTGCTTCCTTCTGGATATGATGTGGGCCAATTATGGTAGAAAATGTAAGTTCAGCTGCCAATTAGTGCTGGAGTCATGTACTTGAGCCACTACTTATGTTGTGTGTGACCCTTGATAAGTCCCTGAGCATCAGTTTCTTCGTCTGTGAAATGGGGGTAATGATAATACTTATCTCATGGCATTACTTTCTCATTAATTATTCATTGACAGTGATATAGGATATAAATAAGCTACTGTGTCCAGCAGATAGAAACTGTTCAGGAGATGATACCAATTTTATTTAAAAAGTCACAAGCATTTACAATATTGATCATCATATCACAATTTTTAATACACCACCATCTTGAGTAATTAGTTCTAATTTGCACAGCACCGAGATTAAATAGAAACCTTGGCTTATTGGAGTGTTACTTGGAAAGTGCATTTATGTACTTTTTGCTTCTTTAACTATAACACGAAATGGTCTTACAAAAATTACTTGTTTCTAATCCCTGTAGGCCCCCCACCAAGTAAAAAGTCTTCAAGTCTTCAATTGCAAACATGAAAAGAGCATTTGGACAAATAACCAGCAAATTCAATACTACTTTTTAAACCTTGAAAATACCTTAAAAAAAATCTGAAAAAAATATAGAAATATCTTATACTGGAAAAGAAAGTATGCCAAAGAAGTTTTCAAACTTCCAGAAATTAAAGTCAAAGTGGTTTTTAACCAGCATGTGCCAAGGTACATACCCTTCCACTGTGTAGTTCCACACCATAGAAGTCGAGGGTCCGTGCTATGTTGATAAAGCAAGATTCAGCTTCTGATTGCTTCAGCCCACTACAGAAGAGAGAATATGCAGAGTTCACCCAATAAACAGAAGATATTAACTATAATTTTAAAAATAAAAACCTAAAAATGTGGTAACATTCCTGTAAAATTTCAATACCTTTTGTTACGAAACTTAATCTAACCCTAAATTCCACTAAACCAGCTTTTTCTTCTTGTTCATTGAATATGAACTCATCTAGCCTGATAATGTCTTTATGAAATAATAGATCTTATTTAATAAGCTCTCAATAGTTAGAGAAGACTGTCACCTTTAGGAATTCCCACCCTACTTATTCCAAGTGGCTTACTTAACATGTGCTCTTTAGGTCTTTATCTATCCTTTTAGCAGCAGCCTCAAACTTGCACATGTCACTGTGCTATTTTAGGACGTTGGCTTCTGCCTGGGGGAGCCATTCTGGGAGACGGGATTGGCAGTGCCTTTTAGAAGGGACGCTGGTTATTTGGCTTTTGTTCTCATGGCCTTCCCAAGGGTATGAGGTCTCCTGGGACCCGGCCTTCTCGGTCAAGGTGGCCCTTAGTTGACCTACATTAAACAGCTATCACAGCAGCTTTTGAGTAAAATGAGGCAAAGGAAGAGGCATCTGGCATCTGGTGTACTTGCTGGGATGGAGGCTTGGCCCAAGGCAGCTGTGAAGACGGGTACTCCCTTCTGGAAGCAAGGCAGTTTCAGGAACTGCATCAGAAAGGGCTTGGGACTCACACAGCCTGTCAGCACTTTACTCTGTGTGCCTAAAACTCATCAATACCTGAAGGAATGGCCCATTTTATTAAATGTGGTAAACCATTAAAAGGTTTGCCTGGTAGCATCAGTTTGTGGGGCAGTCAGATTTAAAATGGGCATTTCCTTCAGGGAGAACCAAGTGCTTTCAATGACATCCTGAAAAAGAATGCAGAATCACCCTAAACTCTACTGGATTTTACACTTCACAGAACTGCAAGTTATGCCAAATATATCTGCCATCCATAACAGCTGGAAGGTTCACAAACCTCCGACATCTTAAAAGAGAATTCATGAACAAAAGGAAAGGAAGAACACATCAAACACAAAGGGACATGAGGTCTGACAATGCCTGACCTCGGTCCCCAAAGTAGGCCACCCCACCCCTCCTCTCACCTGTGTTGCTCATGGAGCGATTCCACCTTCGTTAAAAAGTCATGGTTCTGATCTGGTATAAATTGACTATCAGAAAGATAGCCCGGATGATGAATGGAAGAATTATAGTCTCCAAAATGAGCTATCAAGACAGAATGAGGAAGAAATTGCTTTTTCAATATAGTCTGTATTTACAAGCATCAATAGTATCACAAGAAAAGGATTAACTGGAAATACTCTTCCAAGAAGATCTGTCACCACATGAACTTGAGCTTCTCATTTGCTCCAGTTTCCACATTCTCTGAACCCTCACTATGGGCTAAGTACTGCTACAAATGCACAAACTGAACTCTTTCTCCCCCAAGGCCACCTGAGTAGGAAAGGGGGAGGCTGTTCCAATCTGGGGCCTACTCAAACCCCACACCTGTTTCCTACTCTGTGGTCAGCCGAGCAGTTTGCACTCATACCCCTGGATAAAGAAAAATGGAAGAACCCACTCAGGAAAAGGCCACGCTGGGCATGCCAGGCACTGCAGGATTTCTCTCTGTAGAAACCCAAGGTTATTGTAACGCTGGACCAACCTCCTTTAACAAATGGATGTGGGCAGAAGGGAGGTCATGCGGACCCAACTACTGTCTGCATCCTGACCTACTCCCTGGAACTCAAGGAATGTGGAAAAATGAAGCCAGGCAAAGTGGGGCATGAGTGGAGCTCATGGGTCTGGGCCCTGGCAAGGCAGTGCACAGTGTTCTGGGGAAGAAGGAATTATTCTCAGGGGAGTCAGTAGACAAGACTGATGCCTGGGCTGTCATGGAAATTACATTGGAACTTGTGACCCCAAAAGAGGCAGGAGGTCCTTAGAGGGGGATTCCCGGAGTGGTCTCTGGTCCGAACAGCACTTCTCGAGATCCTTGAGGGTGCTATGCAGACATGATTTACTGATGTCTATGGTGTGATCGGTATTCCTGAGAGCTGTGCAGTGCCCAACCTGTGCAAGTGTACATGCTGTCTTGAGGACTCAAACCTTCTAGGTGTCAAGAGTATTGAGGAGACTGGGAAAAGGGACCCTGGGTGGGCAGCCAAGCATTTGGCTTGTGGGGCCCAAGACACCTGCTTTGCTTCTCCAAGATTCAGATTTTGCATTTGTATAAAAAACAGGAGTGAGACAGACCCTATCTAGTTCTGATGGGCCATTAATTTAGTGCTTCATTTTCTTGACAAAAACAAGTATTTCATTTTTTTCTTAAAAAATATTAACCTTAATCTTTCTAAAGGTTTCAATGAATTCTTCCTGCAGCTGGCTTCGATGCCAGCCAGGTGGCTTATGAGGACTCATGTTTCAGAGAACCCATTCAACACAGGAAATTTCTAAGCTAAGTGACTCCTTCTCTTTCACAAGGACAGGCATTAGGGAAAGCTGTGATGATGCTTCACAGCCAATCCCAGAAGGAAAGGAGATGAGCCAGGTGGCTGTTTAGTTGAATTTCATCACAAAGTTAAAAGGTCAGATGCAAGGGTATCCTTCCTTACAGCCACATGGCCTTGCTCACCCTCAATGGCCATGACACACAAGGGCTGCTCTTTGAGATCTGCACTGTAATGAGTGGATGTTTCCTTCTTACACTGTCCCTTGAAGGGGGCCAGTGAGTCAGACTCATCTTTAGGGCCTAGCACACATGCATGGCACACAGTGGGGGTGCAGGGATGTGGTACTCAGAACTGACCTGTACAGAGGCACCTGCAAAGTTCAATTTTGGAAGGGGAAGAGGGCAGAAAGCCAAGTGATCTAAGCATGAAGGCTTCGACAAGGGTAGACCACAGGCAGTTAAGGCCAGCCAAATATGGCTAAGCTCTGGACAGAAACATCAAGGCTGTGTGATGTAAGAGGAAGTGCAACAATTCAGTTTGTGCATGGTGAAGTGCAAAGCAGTGCATTTACAGGAAACCATTTAGATGCCCTGACATACAGATCCCAACAAGGAAAGCTTGAGAAAACCATACTGTTACCTTGTCCAAACTCCTCACGTTAAAGGGGAAGAAACTAAGGTGCAGAGAGAAAGGGCTTACCCCTCTCATGGAACTAGAACCCAGGTGATGTGTGCCCTGGCTAGGGCCCCACCATTCAACCTGCCTGCCTTGGTGTGAGCTGTTCCTGGCCATTTGCTGATAACAGTGATCATGTCCCCAGAGGGCAATGAAATGCTTTTTCCTGAGCCTCAAGGCAGAGTCCTGTTAAATTTTACTCATTTGGTTTCATTAGCTCATGGAGACCCTCTTGGATCTTGATTTGGTCATCCATCATACTAGCTAACAAGTCCCAACATGTATGCCTTTCTGTAAACATGACAAGCAAGGTTACCTCGTGAGTCAAGTCACTGACAAATGTCTGAACCCAACATGTAACCAACTAACCTCCCCCAGAGTGGTTTTCCCTTGAAATCTTAGTTGGCTACTCTATGCAAAGTGCTGTGCTAACCACTAGGGGGAAACAAAGTTAAGCACTCACACCAACAAACATTTGCAAAGCACAGGAGGGTTTCCGGTTGATTTCAGTGACGTCATCCCACTAGATAACCCAGTGACAGGCATTGCCTTCCCCCCTAAACAGACAGGGGAGTTGAGACTCAAGGAAGGGACCTGGCCGCTGCTGCTCAGCTGGGAGCTTGGAGCCTACATTCTGATCACAGTCCCTAGGCTTGATCTACTCGCTCTACCACACACCCTAGCTTCCAGTGACACGCTTTTCTGTTTGTGGGGAAGCAACATGTACAAAAGAACGGGAAGTAAATGCTTATGTGGGGAGTAACTTGTCTTTTAAGTTTCATGCATTTTTCTGGCTAACATTTTATGTTTTGCAAGAAAAAGAGTATGTTCCAGGTACTCAAATGCGCAGCATTTCAAGCTGCTGAGAAAGCTCTTTATTTAACCTGCTATTCATACAATGTCAACCTGATTTTGGAGACTCTTCCCCAGGGTCACCACCAGGAAGCTTTTCTGGACTCCCTTGTCCTTCTCCCCAAGGCAGGATGGGGTACATTCTGTGGGCTCCTGCCAGCCTCAGCTGGTCCATCTCCGCCTCCCCACTGGGCTGGAGACCAGTGTGAAGAGCAGCAATGCCTTATCTGTCCGTACACCCTGAGGCTGATGCAGAATCTGCACAAGGCAGAGGCTCAATGGACATTATGGCATAAATATGTATTTCCAAAAACTTCATTCTTTAAGCTTTGTGAACACTTGACAGGCTACCAGCAATCTTCCACCAAGTCTTCTTAAGTATGATATCTACATTTTACCTTTTACCTAGTAAGAAATTGTGTGCTTTTGTTTCACTCACCACGGGTAGGGCTCATCTCTGTATCAGACACCCCTCTTGGGACAATTTGGCAAAATGTATTAGATAAAATTTAGACATACTCTTTGATCCAGCAACTTCATATCCAAGGATTAATCTTATGGAAATGCATGCATAGAAGTGTGGAAAAAGGGATATTTACTGCGGGTGGAGGAATAAAGAGCTTACACTTAAAACTACTTGCCTGATAACTCGTGATTTTATTAGCATTACAGTCAAGCTGGTATTTCCGCTGAAGCTAGTTTGCACTTCATAGGTGCTAAAAACTTTCCTTAGCGCCCATTCTATCATTCTATCACTCCTTTGTAGAGGGGAACCTGACCACTGACGCTTAGAATAGGATTTTTTTTTACTTGGCTGTTAAATTTTACTCTAAATAGAGAACTGTTTACAACAGGCAGTTCTTTAGACAGCTTTTTTTTCTGGGCAGACATGGAGAGTAAGAGTTAACACGTGCCGTGTGCCAGGCACTCTTCTAAGAGCTTTACATATAGTCCCTCATTTCATCATCACTACAACCCTATGAAGTAAATACTGTTACCAACCCCACTTGGCAGATGAAGCTGAGACCTAGAGAGACTCAGGGTCATGCAGGTATAAGGGGAAGAACGAAGACCCAGGTAATATGGCTTCAGTCTGCTCTCACTGATTCAGTTCACAGTGATGGTCTAACTATAAAGGGTTTCTCTATAGATCCCCATCACATGTATTTGGATCAAGCAGCCACACTGCGAGTTGCCATTAATTCCCGTCATCGCTTCATTTTATAGGTGAAAAAAGCCAAGATTCAGGGAGGTAATACCAGGTAAGTGGCAAACGGAGAAGCCAAGGGACCCTGGGTTTTGTCTTAGTAGGGAGCAGGGTCCCGGTTAGCCTCTCCTCCACTCCTGGTATAAGCAGGTGAGCAGGTAAGTTGCAGGCCCAGCAACCTCGCTTTTAGCAACCCTGTTTCTGTTCTTTCCTGCTAGGGGAACAGGCACACTTAGGAGACCCTGCCAGCCTACTTTTGCTATCTGCCTCCGAGAGCAGAGTAGGCGGAGTAGTTTAGCCAGGGCTTGCTCTCAGACCTGACTGTCTTGCTCTCTTAACTCCTTTCATGCCCTCCCTACCAGCCAAGAGGGTGACAGGCCGAGATGGTGTGGGGCTTAGAGGAAGGCAGAGGAGCTTTCTTAAGTCTTGAGCTACCACGCAGCCCTGCACGGCGTCCGTGCCGGTGTACTGCGCTGGCTCCACACTGCGGGCTACGGAGTGATACTTCACCTTCTGTCTGGTCGTGCACCCCTTCCTTCCACCACGTATACCACTATGATACAGAATATGCTCAATAAAGTCTTGCTCATTGAATGAGTTTTTACTCCAGCTTAAACAGGCTTGGATGGAAAATTCCATCCAGACGTTTTATCTAGTGTGGCAGACAGACACTAGCCACATATGGCCACTGAGCACTTGAAATGGGGCTGGTTCAAACTGAGATGTAGTAGGACTGTTTTTCAAAGACTTATTATGGAAAAAAAAGTAAAATCTCTCATTAATTTTGTAATCATTAACATTGATTACATAATATTTTAGATATACTGAGTTAAATAAATTAAAATTAATCTCGTGTTCCATCTTACTTTTTTAATATGGCTACTAGAAAACTTAAAATTACCTAAGTGGTTCACATATTCCTATTGGACATTGCTGCTTATGACCAAAATGTAACACACTAGCTGAAATGAAACTCAAAAAATAAATTCCTAAGATCCCAGCAGTGTTTTCGAGTGGCACAGAGCAAGTAGCAAGAGGAACCTCCGGCCAATCCCTTCACCTGGGTCTCAGTTTCCATGTCTGTGAGAGGGGACTGGTAGAAATATTTGTCCCACTAGGATTATGGAGATCAAATCCTCTATGAGAGTGAAGGCTTAGGACAATGTAATGTATGATAGGTGCTTTCTGTTTTATGGGCTCCCTGGGGAGAAAACCCTACACTCCAACTCATCCACCCTTTCCCCTTCACCACCGCTTCCTTATGTCTACATTCCTGAGCTGGAGGAGAGTGCCAGCGAGGGTGGAAGTGGACTACCCAGACAATGAGAGAGAGGCTTGCCCAATGGGACTCCTGGGAAGAGGGGAAGGGACTTGGTCAAACAGGAGAGGCCAGTAACTTCCTTAATTCATCGACAGGGCAGTGTGGCTGTATGTGAAACACCCCCTTCGTGACTTACATTGTACTGCATAGGATGCTAGAACCACTGCTGAGTTAAGAGGGCAGGTTAACCTGTCGGGAGAAAAGCATATTAGAAAAGCCACAAGAACCAACATCAATCATAGTAACACCTATCTTTTCTTTCTTGAATTAACTATTAAAAAACATCATGAATCATAACAAAGACAATCTTAGGACACAACTCAATAAGATTAACATAACACTAGGCTTCTCTTGAATTAAAAGAAAATGTTTTAATGTTTAAAACAATATACATTAATATAAATACCATGAAGCTAAAGGTCTAATGTTGAGCCAAGGTTTTGGCTGGTCAAAAAAGGTCGGGCTCATATCACTAAAAGGAAAAGTGAGAAAATTATACTTTTAGATCAACGGGAAGACTTAATATCTTTCTGGTAAAGATGAAGCCTTTCTGTCGGTCTTTCTAATTAAATCACCAACTTGTTTACCCACTTTCTAGAGGATGATATCCTCTTAAAAGGGAAAAATATAGAAGTAGTTCAAATTTTCAAAATCCTCTGAGCATTAAGTAATTTAAGGTTCTTGTGTCTATTTACCCTCCTGAAGCTTCTGACCTACAGAACGGTCTCTGTCCACCTCTCAGTTTTCCTCAGTCATCCACTAGAAATCTGTGGACTCCACATCGAACTTGTTCTCCCTGTTCTTAAGCTCTCTGCCCCCACAAACACCCCGCTTCCGCCAATGACTCCTTCTCTGACTCAGTCATTTTTCGAATCCTCTGGCTGCTCCCTTTTCTCCATGCAACCATGAGATTCACAGTCTGCCCACAGGAGCTCGGCCAGCAGAGCCGGCAGGGATTACTGCCAGGTGGAGGGATGCACTGGGGAAGGGCCGAATAGCAGCAGCAGCAGGAATGAGGGCTTACAGGATGGGCAGACACAGATTTTAAAAGACATCCTTCCCAGCAACCCCTGGAGAAGTGGAGGAAAAAAATGCTGTTTCCATGGCAGCCCATGAAGTTCCCAAGATGTGAGTCACCCTCACCCCTCTGATTAATCTCGCTGGCCATCTGGGAGATCCCCTCCCTGTCCGCTTAGGGTCCGCTGGGCTGGGCGCTGGTCCTGAAGCTGCATATGAAGGTAGCCTTCCTTATCTGAAGGGCCCTTAACTTTCCTCAAGTAAGTAAGTGCACCCACTAGAACTTCTAGATGAAATGATCCCCCCAAGTTTAGAGATACATACATGCGAGGATACTCTGCATCTTTTGTTCATCTGGAGACCCAGAGGGCCCATGGGCACAGCAAGCAGCAGCCATTAGCTCTCCTCCCAAGATGGGTTCCAATGAAATCTAAGTCAGTGTCCCTGCTAGAGGCACAGCAAGTAGATGGGATTTGGGGAACAACGTAGGGGAGAGACTAAGGGGGTTCAGTCTAGATAGAAGGAACAATCCTATGACTAAGTCAGCAAGAGAAACATTTCCAGAGTATAGATACAAACTAAAGAATGTTAAAAGCTTGCATTCTATTTTCAACTCAGCCACTAAGAAGCTACGTGTTCCTGGACAGACCCCTTCCTTCACCCCAGGCTTTAGGTCTTCATCTTTGGACAAGTCACCTACCTCAGGGGGAGGAGGTGCCACCCTGAGCACTGCCTCCACTGACCACTCAGCGAAGGCAGGGCAGGATCTGACACCCAGGAGATCTGCTAACCAGATCCGCTGAGTCTGTCAAAAGATGCACAGCTCCAAGGGGTCCGCTGCCACCCGAACACACCTGAGAGGTGTTTGGCACTGGGAGGTGGAGAGGGCCACCTGCAGGCCTGACAAAGATGTAAGCCACGACACAGCCCTCAACAGGTTTCTACTGATTCACATAAAACTAACAAAGGGCCCTGTGTTTGGAGAAGAACAAATGAAGATGACCCCTTTCCACAATTTGGAGAGCTGACTGAAAGCTCCCGGGTGGGGGTGGGGGGGGGCGGTTAGGCAGGAACCTTACACGGGACAGAGCCTGTCTCCGAACAGGTGCTTGTGAAATATTCGTGGGAAAAATAAATCAGCATGTAGAACAAACAACAAGTTTCTCCTGCTGTAGAGGGCGGCCTGGACCCGGGAGAGGGATGGGTCATTTCAACCTAGAGTTACTGTGAATCTGAGGCTGCTCCTGCAAGGGTGAGTTCCCCATTACTGGGGGTGCGCAGATAGAGGCCCAAAGGCCTGCTTGTTGCAGAAGGGATGTCTCCCTCCCTTCAGTGGGAGGATGTGCTGAATTACAAAAATTTGAGTTCTGTGACCTCCAAACAGTCATCAGGTTCTGGCAATCCTTTCCTCAATATGTCCCTGTTACTAAGTGTTCCTCCATGCTGGTCTTTCACTGCCATGAAGTCTCTTTCACCGGCCCCCCCCAGTCTCTGGGCAGGATGTCTGCAGTCACTTCCTCAAGGGCTACGCCTTCCCTTCCATCAGTACTGAAGCCCTTCAGCCTCCCCCAGGCTTTCCTTCTGTTCATGGACAGTATCTGTGTAGATGCTGCTATGGCTACATGCCTCCTGCTAACAGGCACAACCAGACTGTGAGCTCCCTCCCGGAAGCCTTCCAGGGGCTTCTGAAGACCCTCCTCAGGAGAACTAAACTGAAAGAGGAAAGGGGAGATGAGGAGAACAGGAGTAAGATGCGGCTGCTTCCACCAGTTCACTTGCTGCAGGTTCTACCAAAAAGCAAAAAAAGCTCAGAATCTGGAGGAGGGAGACCACTAGCTTGGCATTTCTCTCCCTTCCTGAGCCATTTCCAGATACTTCCCAGCCACCAGGATGGCTGATATGCACAAAGTGCTGAATCACGGGCAGATGATCATGACTTTGGGCAAAGCTTCCCAGAGAGAAAATGAATCATCCAAGATACTGAGGGGCTCCGAAACAGATCTAAATTAGGCCCGATCTGCTTTCCTGAATGAAGCCAGTTTTACATTCTGGGTCTCTCCCCTCCCCTTTAAATTTCTCAGGTCTTTACCAGAAAGATAACTGTATCTTTTTGTAATAAAACTGAGACAACATGAAGTGTAGTTTATTAATTCTTAGCTTCCCTAAATCAAGACCAAGTTAAGAACAGATGTCTAAAGCATAATGTTGCACAAGATGATGCTTTCAACACACATCCTTGTTTACACTTATTATTGTTACCAGAAATGCATGCTCATTAGATTAAAACCAGGAGTTTGAGACGTCTGGCAGCAAACAGGAAAAGAATGCAAAATTATCATTACCTTCCTTCACAAATATCCATCTTCAGTTGTAAGAAATACAAATGCCTAGGAAACAATTGTTTTCATTAATTTGTAACACTCAAAATAAAAAATTTAAAATTACATAAAAATGGAAATAAAATATGATGAGTCAAGGACAAGACCTGTACATTTGAAAAATACATAAAACCACATTTTTGTGTAGAGTATCAGGACTATTTTGCACATCGTAAAGGTCCCTTCAGTGGCAATAGCTCATGTGGCTGCCTAAGTCTCAGCTGGCAGGGGTAATTTCCAGCCAGCCTCATGCCAGCACATGCTGTCCTAGAGACGGCCGAGCAGGATGGATGGGGTAGAAGCAGCTGGTACTTCTGCCAGTGAGTGCCCACGCCCTCCGCCAGGACCTTCCCAATCAAATTTGGGGTATCTGAGAGCACCGGTTCCCACAGGCGTTCTGCACAGCCAGCCCCCACACTGAGGGGCCGCTGTTCTGAACACGACATCTGCACACCCATATTCCCTCTGTGTGAAGTTGCTGAGAGGAGGTGGGTCTGTGAAGACACTTCCTTGGCTGCGGTGCAAACACCCAGCTGGGTTTTCTCCTGTGTCCCAGGAACTGTGGGTGCTCGAGCAAAACCGTAAACATCAATCAGCTGCAGGCTGCCGGGAACTCCAAGCTGAATTCTGCACTGGTCTGTGAGCTACCAGCAGTGTCACTTAAAACCCGAGACCCGACTTGTGGGCAGAGCTCAGTAAGTCGTCACTAGCCCTTCATCCTCCATCCAGGGAGTGGGGAGAAGGCAACAAAACAGTGCTGTGCGATCTGGGAAAGGCCATGGAAAGCTTTATATTTAGGGATGCGGCATACATGTGACACTTGGCCGCTAACTCCCACTCTTTTTTAAAGCCTGGATTCAAATGGGATAGACATTCCAGTGTCTGGCCAAGATGGCAAAAGGGAAACTTCTTGAAATATAATACAGATGCAGAAGAGTTCAGGGGCAGGAGAGTGATAATTTTGGCAATTTAAACAAATCAGTTTCATTTATCCCTTCAAGTTTTTAATCTTTAAAGATCAAGGCCCTGGTGTTCTGAGATGTGAATGCTTCACCTGGTATAATCCTTCCTATTTGCACGGTTCTGGGCTGTGTGCACGGTACTGCATAATTTACTACCTCATTTCAGCTTCGTAACGACTTTGTGAGGTAGGTCCCACCACCTCCATTTTCACAGATAAAGAAACAGACATTAAATAAGTTATGTGGGACCAGTTATATCTTATTTCAATCTGGACACTCATGCTATGAAAAAACCTGACTATGTCAAAAATTTCTTATACATCTAATGATTAAAAAAAAAAAAGCTTAGGGTCAATTTCCTAATTCTGATATGATCACTTTGACTATAATCACCATCAACTACCCTTAAAGTGTTGAAGATCAGCATTGAGAGATGGTGTAACACACGTTTGCTAATTCATGCTTATCCCATATTGGAATCTCCATCTTTTCTGCTGAGAAGAACCTAATTCCTTTCTAGTTTGCTTCTCATTTATCCAAGCTGATATTCAACCAAAATTAAGTGTTCTCTCCTCCTACAATGCTACTCAGAGAAGGGAGAGAATTACAGATAATCCAATGGTAAATCTGGGCTTTCACTGATAAGCCCAGCGAATCAGTATATCTTCTCAGGAACATAAATGAGAATATGAAGTTGGAACTCATCACTTATCAAATGCCATCTTATCATATATTCAAAGTTTCTGAGTCAACCCCGTGACACCATACTGAGATTAGGAAAGTGGAATGAGGCCTACACTTAGGAGACCTAGCAATGTTGAAGACTAATTTTGAGACTGCTGGTAAATGATACTCTGCTTAGAATGATCTAAAGTTATCAAGAACTGCAGCTGGGGAGGCTCACAAGCAAGGAGACATTTATTTAATCATTAGAATAAAGTCATTTAGAAGATGCTTGGTATGCCTGACTTCAGAAATATAATTATCATCCTAGAGTGTATCCCATCCATGACCTCAACTCCAGAAAAAAGCACTGAATGCCTCCCTGCCTAGATCCTTAGAAAACAATGAGAAAACAACGAAGAGTACCTCTACACCTTTCGGCTCTTCAGAGCTGCATTTCTCCAGTTCTTTCTTTGGAGAGCCCTAGCATGCCCACTGGCTGCCACAAACCTATGATTCTAGCAGGCAGGGTGGAGACAGGGCACTGGGTGACAATTACTGACTTAGGCAGTGCAATTTACACTTGGGTTGGAACCCATTCACTGGCGGGAAATTGAACTCGAGGCCACCACTGGCATTTTAAAGGAAGGAAACAAAACAGAAAACTTTAGAGTGCTTTATACTTACTATTGTTTTATGAAATGCTTGCTTCAGTAATTTACATAGATCTGTGTTCTGCATTATAAAGCAAAATATATTTTTTCTGTGGGGTTGTGATTTAAGAAACCCACTGGTTAAAACACACACATATATATAATCCATTGTGACATTTTTAGAGCATCCCTTGAACGGAACTAGATATTGAGTAGTGGCCTGGGGAAACCTTGGGAGGGTCATTTCAAACACAAATTCTTAGAGGTTACATCATCACTTTGTGTCCACTGGCTTATGAACTGTGACCTATACTATCCCTTAGTCCACCAGCATAAACAGCCGTACGGGAGAAATCTCAAAGTACCAGGTGTACTTCCCGTGGTTACCCAGCGAGTCACGCCGGACATCTGTTATGCTGGCTTAAAATTTAACTTAACAATAAACACAGTCCAATTTCCAATGTCTGCTCTTGTAGAGGGACTAAGTGCAAAACAGAGAAGGCAAAACAGAGTAATAGACTAATATTTGGCCTTGCAACATATAAACAAAAAAAGGAAAAAGCAATACAGCACTCTAGTTTGAGTTAACGTCACCCTCTTGGTGATGGTCTCACGGCCACAGTGAGCGCCCAATAGGATTCAATACTCCTGGGCATCCATTGCTCTTTTCTGGTGGAAAACTTTCCCTCTCTAAGAAAAATAATCATATCAATAATAAAAGGGCTTAATGTTGCCACAGGGGAGGGGAAGTAGAAGCAGGGTTGAATTCGCATGATTTGCATAGTCCCTGTTCAAACTGAGATAGCTTTCCTGTGCTTGCCACCTTTATTCCAAATACTGTTCCCCGCCCAGAGAACTCACGTGCTGGTACAAAACCAGGGCCAGGACCTACAACAATCCCTGAGGGATAAACAACTCCTATGAAGCTCTTATCTGGTTCACATATTGCCCTCACTGGCTCATTCACTAAGCAGAGAAGCCAGCCCAGCTTGCTCTCCCATCTGCCTCTTAGCAACTGAGGATCTGATAGGGAATTCTTCAGTTCGAACCCTGCTGGAGATACCGTGCTATCTGACCTGTAGACGACTGCTTCACAGACTCACCTTCCAAACCTGTCTACATTAGTAGAAAATGATTTTGTGTTCTTTGGGCACAAGTGCTCAATAGGCAGGAGGGGCTGGGATGGTGAGGGAGGCGGGAGGCGGCGGGCGGAAGTGTGCTGGGAAATGCACCAAATGAAGAGGAAAGAGAAATAGATCCAAGACTGAAAACAAATGAGCTAATTAAAATTTCAATATGTGTGCCCCCAGTTTTCACTCGGGTCATAATTGTTGGTACAGTTATACCCAAATGAAGTACTTGGCCACCGTGGTAAAATAAAGAGTACATTTTTCGTGGTTACTCATTTTTATATACTAAGTAGAAAACTTTAAAAAATGTTATTACCTGGTTTGTTCTTGCTGCAGTGTGTTGGGATCAGGTATAAAAAATCTTACTCGAAAATGCAGGGTACATGGGAAACCTCCTACAACATTTTTCAAAAACAAATTAAATTTTCCCTTTAAAAAAGGCAATGTATGTAAGCTGCTCTCCCATAAGTGATGCATTTTTTCACTAGACCACAGCTTTTTCCATCAATAAAAGGACTAATTTCAAAAAAGGAGTGCGTAAGTCAATCACTGTTCAGAAATCTCCCAGTCTACAGAAAGTAAAATATTTTTGCAATGTCAGCACAGAATGAGGTATTACCTACTTCTATCATGTGTTTAATTTAGGGCTGTGTTCAAATAATGCACTCCATTATTTGTATTAGGAACTTTAAAAATCCTTAAATCAGCAGTTAACACAAAATTCGCAAAGAGATAATCTTTATACACTTTTCAACTTTATACTTTTCAAACATTTTCATGTACATTCTACAGTTTAAATGCCCTCATGACTGAGTAGGCTAGGCTGCTACTGATAGAACTGTTTTACCAACAGGCTTAGAGATGTGACTTGTCTTAGGGTCACACAACTGATGACAAAACCAGAATTATGGCACTGAGGTTTTTGATTTTGCTAGCCCACATTTCAAAATTATTTTTATACTGGAAAATAGTTCGTGCTTTTAATGCAAAGTGAATTCCAGAAGTGTTTAATAAACTAACAAATATTACACAAATAGCATACTCAATTATCAAACATACTCAATTATGGTTTTATGCAACAATACCAGGAGTCAGTTCACTTGTATGGATAAAATTAACCCATTTTTTTTGCTAGATATGGCAATGGGAGAAGGTCAGTTGTGTTGCTAAGATCCCATACCCTTTTTTGTGTCAATTTCATCCCTTCCCTGTAGGTATTCACTGGCCCTATCTATGTGCTCAGCACTTTCTTGTACTCTGAAACTCAAGCCTTTGCCACCTGCTCCCCTCACAGATCTTGCTACTGATTTCTCTACCCGCTTCCTTTAGTATCTTTTGTCTTAATCCCTGGCTTGTGCCAGATCTGAATGGTGTGTGTGCACCTATGAATGTACCTCTGCACAGATGCCACCGTGTACAGTGGGTGGGGCTGTACCTAGGTGCTGGCTGAACACAAGCACCTCAGGGACCTAAGTCCTCCCACTTCCGTGGGAAGTCCTTTGAGCTCCCCTCCCCACCTCTATAACCTGTCACTGCATGTCTCAGGCAGGCCTCCTCACATTTCTTGTCCTCTGTGCATCCCAAGCATCCTACCACGTGGTCTGAACTACCCTAGAAATGTCTCTCCCTTTGTCTACATCCCCACATGTGGCTGTGAGCTCCTTGAGGGCAGGGTCCAAATGGACCCAATTCCTAGAGCTTAACCCAGGGCCTTGCCAAAGTCTGAGCTTGGGACACATTTATTGAATGAATGAGTTGGTGAGAAAGTGAATGTCAATACCTCTCCGTGCCTGTGTGCAGTCAGTCCTCTGTGACTGGAGGCAGGTGTTTATCTGCACAATGGCTCTGTGGCTCCCTGTGGGTACTTCCAAATGCTAAGGACACAACTCAGGGGAGGTAAGGACTCTTGAAGTCCTGGCCCCAGGACAGAGCAGCGGTGGGATCAGAGCCATGGCTACTTGTCCTACTCCTTCCCATGCAGGTGCCGGGGTGAGTGGGGGGACAGTGGCGTATGTGTGCACTCACTTGTGTGTACAAGTCCACCTGCCCTTCACCTTTAACCATTCACTGGCCACCTCCTGTGTGGGGGACACTTCGAGAAATGCAGAAAGGGCATGACAAGAACCCTCACCTCAAAGAGCCTGGAGTTTTGCAAGGAAGATAAAGGCAGATAACTGTGAGATGAAGGGGTGTTCTGTGGCATGAAGCAGACAAGTGATAAACCTAAGGGAGGGCAGAGAGGGTCCTGGCTTCTAGTGAGTGAGGATAGAGGATCTGAGCAGCTTTGAAGAACAGCAAGATTTGGATACAGGGAAGCAGGACAGAAAAGCATTCTCACCAAAAGGAACAGCCTGAGGGGAGGCACAGAGGACTGTGTTCAGTCTAGCCGGTCAGCCAGTTTGTCTGACTTGGGCATAAGGGCATAAAGGGACATAGAGGGCACAATGCTGGGAAACCAGGCCGAGGACAGGGCCGGGAAGACGGCGGCCTGAGGCATGGTGTGAAAGCCCACCAAACTGGAGTCAGCCTGCAGCAGTGGGCTCACTCGTGGCTGGTGAGCTGGGTGCTGTGTTTGTGACATTAGCCACCTATGCCTCGGTGTCCAGTGAGTGGAACTGTGCTGCTGCAGTACTATTAAGGGTGTGTGTGTCTTCCCCATCCTGGCTCTCCCACTGGGCTAAGGAAGGCCATGCTCCTCCCCTTATAAAAAGAAAGTAGGTTCCCTGCCCTTGGCTGCCTGCCTTCACCTTCCCCCTTTTCACTCACAGTTTGGGGGGACCCTTGTGGGCTGATCTGGGAGCCCCTCTGTGCACTCAGAAGTCAGACAGGGAGAAGTCGGCTCCCTCACATCACCTGGACCCCCTGGAATCCAGGTACCAGATGTTGTAGGCACACTGATGATCAGAGGGGGAGAAACAGGCTGTGATACACTAACACTCAGTGTTCAACTGAAACGGGAAGGTCACACCCACCTTTTAACTGCTTCCTGATGGGTTTGCTTGATTCCAGCCATCTCTGTTGGGTAAGAAAACATAAGATATGAAACCAGACCATGTAGGAGCCCAGCATGTCATAAAGGGACAGCACTCACGGGCGAATCCACGGGGTCTTCTCCGTGCTGCAAACCAAAGAACTCTCTCTCGGTCACACCCAAGTGGCTGTACGCCATATCCAGAAGAACTTGACCAGTATCTTGTTTCTAGAAAAAAAAATTGTCAAGTGGGCAAAATTTTAATACAAATGAAGAATTGGTGGTTGAAAGACTTTACTATAGTCAAAAAAGAGTTAAAATATTCAAGAGAGATTTTATACACACTCATATGCTACAATAGGAAATGCTTTAATCAATTTCAAGTTAAGAAGCCACATGGTGTTTATGGGAAGCAGGCTAAGGAAAAAACACATATATGCAATTTAAGACAGTATTGTTTAATTTTCTAAAATGTCTTCCTTCTCCTTAGTGGAGAGTCCCAAATGATGTCTAAATTGGAAAACTCAGATAACTACAATTAGAGTCAACTCTCAGTGACCTACCCATGGATCGTCCACAGCAAAATGCTAATCCTTTGTCAGTTTTTCTGTTGGCACCTCAGGAGCCATGGAAGTGTGTACAGGGAAGAAAACTATAACAGCATGACGGAAGATGGCTAAGAATACTCAAATGCCATCCAGAACACCCTCAAAGTGATCTGGCATGTGACACCCTGGGGGATTATCTGCCTCACTGCTCCTCATCTTCTGAGGTGAGAAGCCAGTGGGCACACCTACCAGACTTCACATCCGGAGCAGGACCCAGCCACCTCCACCACTCAGTTCATAGAGCAGCACGGTACTGGGCACAGGACAGAGCCACAGGAAGTGTCCTTTCCCTGCCCTCTCAGAGAGGCTGGCCATGGAAACAGTGACATTCATCCCGTCCAGTATCTATGCTGCACAACTCGCCTAGTTATCAGGGTGCGTACCAAATGCCGTCAAGTGCTGTGAAACGCTCAGAAAGCAGTGAATACACAAAACGGACAAATGGTCAGTTCAACCTGGGGACAAGTGGAAGCAAGCTTGACCTGGGTCTGGGAGGGTGACAGAGCTGGGTGCTGCCCTTCTCCTCTTTGGAGTTAAAAAAAGGCATTTCAAGCAGAGAGCTGGGCACAAAGGCCCAGGGGTAGGAAACAGCATGGTGCATTTGGGAAATTGTGAATTCCACTTTAACAGGCAGACCTCTCAGGAATCCTTTGAACCAAACCATTTAACTTAAGGACAATATGAGTCAGAAATAGGCTGTCTAGAATAAGCAAAGGCAGCTCTTTTTAGAGATAATGTACCTGCAAACAGGTCACAGCGACCGGGAGGAGGATTAGGTAACTGTCAGGCCCCCTCCTACAGCTGCCCCTATGGCGAGGCCCCATATTTGGTCTGAAGTGTGGGAACATGAGACACGCCCATTTCCTAAGTACATCCCCTTCCTGCCAGAGGGTCCTGCACCTGCTGCTTCCTCCACCCAGACACCTGCCATCACAAGGGAATCATGATGGTGTAGAAAAGAGGACACAGTCTACATGTCCCAAATAATGAAACGGCCTCCCCATAAACTATGGGAGACTCTATTAGTGAGTCAAAGAGCTATGTGCTCCCCTTGTGAAATTATCATTTACGATTTTGCATTATATTTAATATATATTATTAATAACAACTATAAACTATTGGACATCTACAAGGAGCCAGACATGACACTACGTGCAGTTTTTAGACGTGATCTCTCATCTGTGTGGCAACTTTGCAAAGTCATCATCACCATCCCCTTTGCCCATGAGCAGACAGAGGGCTCAGCAGGCTGCGCGCCTTGTGCTATCGGCTGTCGGATGGTCTGCCTGCCTGACTCAGGTCTCCTTGATGCCAAACCTGGCTTGTGCCTCAACGACACTGCACCTCTCTCCTCTGGAGTGCGACATTCATCTCGTCCAGTATCTATCCTGCACAACTCGCCTAGTTCTCAGAAGGATTTGAAATATAATAAAGAACACACTTACATTAAGAACAAGCCTCCCAAGCCCAGTGCCACCCCACAAGAGGTCATCTTTGCTACATCAGGTCACTGTCAGCGACTGCCTTGCTCTCTGGCTGGCTGAGAACAACTGATGTCCATCAGGGCAGCTTCCCTGATGATGCCTGCTCCTGATCACGGGACAGTCTGGGCTGAAGAGTCTGCACGAGACAGTGCAAACAATCCCCGTGAGTAGAAAGACACAAAGCAACAGAGATCTAAGCTGCCACTAGGCCCTCAAATTCAAGTCCAATGGGAGTCAGCTCTGACAGGTCAAGCTTTGAGCTTGGGGAAGCAGCACTGGCCACGTGCTGATAACAATGGTGTTCATAACTGGGAATGACAGGTGCACGCGGAATGCCGGGCTCTGCTCGGAGGCCGTATGGGTCATCACTCCGGCGAGGTGCTGTCCTCCTCCCCACTCACAGGGCCCAACACTCCTTAAAACCTGTTCTAACTGGGATTTTCAGAGATGCGCTCTCCACCTCCTCCCTCCCTGGACAGCCCTCCCCTATGTCCCTTAGCGAATGTTCCTCACATCTCCAACCTTGTTCTGCCTTCTGTCTACTCACTTCTCAGGTGAACTCATCCAGATTCATAGGTAGAAACACATCTCTACTCTGGTAACACTCCTATTTATATCTCAGACTGGATGCTTCCCTTAAACCATTTGCTCATCTAATACCACTTTTACGTAGATAAGGAACAGGCGTCTGCAACTCAGCGTGTCTGAAACAGAACTGGGTACTTCTGCCCCAAGCCCACTCCGCTTGCAGCCTCTGCATCCCACCAACGGCCCTGGGGGTCACCTAAGGCCTCTTGCACATCCCAAATCCCGTCTACCAGCAAATCCCAGCAGCCCCACCTTCAAAATATTTCCACACTCGGCTTCCTCTCAGCCACCTCCACACCACCACCCTCTCCGATCCTCCTCTTCTCCCCACCAGACCGTTAGAATAGTCTCTCAGCCTACTGCTGACAGCACCCAGAGTGATACTTGATGCAGATCACGTCAGGTCTCTGCCCAAACCTATGTGCTTTCTGTCTCACTCAGAATAAAGCCAATGGCCTGAGGAGGGTCCACAAGGCTCTACACAGCCCCGCACCCCCACCCCAATGCCTATTCGCCCTCTGACCTTCTCTCTTGCTATTCTCCCCTTTGCTCATTCTACCCCAGACACACTGGCTTGCATACTGTTCTGCAAACACACTAAGCGGGAACCTTTCTCAGGGCCTTTGATTTCTTTTACTTATGTGCTTCCTCCAGAGAACCATATGCTTTTTCCCCTCACTTCCTTTAGGTATGGTCTTCCTGATCACCTCTCTAAAATGACCACCTCACCCCTTTTCCTAGCCTGACACTCTCTACCCTCCTTACCCCACTTTGTTTTTCTTCTATGCACATAATATCACCATCAACATAGCACAGATTTATTTATGGCCCATTTCCTCCCACCGGAATGTAAGCTTTAAAAGGGCAGAGATTTTGCCCTGGTTTGTTCACTGCTGTATTCTTTGTACCCAGAACAAAGCCTAGCGCAGAGCAGATGCTGAGGAAACATTTATTGAAAAAATATTCGTGTTCTTGTCAGGAAGAAGATACGCAGCTGAGGAACGGCTCCAAAACTAACAACATACATTCTCACGAAGGATCCAGACATATACCAAGCTGTCAGTCTACAGCATCTGGAAGCGACATTTGTGACCTTTATAGAACACCAACCAAGCTACAACTTCACAAAAACTGCCTTTTCCTCTTGCCTGCTTAGCCATCAAGGTCCTAAGGTCAGTAGGAAGCATACTTACGGGTTGGGTGGAAGATCCAGGGGTTGGTTTTGTTACCCTTTAATTTCTTGATGGCCTTTTTATCATCCCAGATTGTTCTCCAACCCCTACCCTCTCTTTCTGACATCTTTCCTTGCACAGTAAACTTTCCAGGTGGGGGCAAATCCTGGTAGCCAGCCCAGGGCTGGGGTTAACCCCTTTAGGACTGGCCAGAGGACGGGAGAGACAGGCAGTCACAGGCCTAGGTGGTGACTGGGGTGCGGTGGGGCGGCACGGACTGCTGCTGGTCAAGCATTTTACGGCTGACCTGAGACTGGAGACCTTGTTTCCATCCCTGCTTCTGCTGTGGGCTTGAGGTGTGAGACCAGCCAGGCCGTCTTCAAGCCCACCATCTGTCCTGCTAACTGTCTCACACTGAGCCCCTGCTACCTGCTGAGCCCTGTGCCAGGTACAGGCAAAGTAACTCAATTCCTGTCCTCGAAGGGCTCACAGTTTTAAGAGCAATGCATAACCTAGAAATTATAACTATTATTAATGCAATGTGATATGGGCTCTACCTATACAGCATACACAGGGCACCATTACTGGAGAGCTAGCTCAACAAGTTGATAAAAACGTCACAGAAGAAGTAAAGTCTGAGAGTCATTCAGTCACAAAGAAGAGGGGGAAGACCTTCCAGGTGTGGACAAAAACATGGGCAAAGTTTTTAAGGTTATTTCCAGTCCAATGTCAACTTACAAGATCTGAGATCTCAAGCTTTCATTTTAAAGTAGTTTTTCTTCATTTTATAAGCTAAGAGATGAAAACTATTTCTTAGGGGCACTGATTCAGAAAAAAAATAAATTTGGACAACTTACATTAACTTTAAAGGTCTGTACCAAGCCATCTAAAAAGCGAATGCTGCAGATGACTTCGGATCGAGTTTTCTCTTTGGGTAATTCTGAGGTGCGTATATTATTAATTCTTCCACCCAACGCACGTAACCGGGAGGTCATAACTATAGTTGAATAACCTGTAACAGAAGATACACCTGTTAATTCTGATGTGCAAGTTATCAGTTACATGTGAATGTACCTCACAGGCCACTCATCCCTTACCTGTCTGTTTTGACCCTCACAAAACTGAAGAACTCAGAGTTAAGTGTGAAACAGATAACAGACCATGTTTCCATTTGAGTTTTGACTTTTAAAACGGCTCTATTATTGCTCAGTTATAACATGTGCATAGAATTATTTGGCTTATCTGTATGTCTTATTATCTCCCTGGTCTAAATCTTCTAATAATTTGCATTTCCAAGGCTTTTAATTTTTTGTGTTCTACTCTTTCATATATTTGTGTATTCTACCTGAGATTTTACCAAACTAAATGTGATATAAAAATGATTTAAGATATGAAGACATTTATTGATAAATTATATCACATTAAGAACTTCTATTCATTAAAAGACAATATTTAAGAGAAAAGGCCACCCACAGAAATATCTGCCATATATGTCGCAAAAAATATATAAAGAGCTCCTACAACTCAATAAGAGAAATGAACAACGTGGTGGGAAGTGGGAACCACATTAGTTGTCAAAGAAATGCAAGTGAGAACCACAAGGTAATAGCACCACATGCTCACTAGAATGGCTACAGCGAAATCTGACAAAACCAAGTGTTGATCAGGGTGTGTAGCAACTGGAATGCTCATGTCGAGAATGTAAATTAATGCAACTACTTTGGAAAATGGTTGGCAGTGTGTACTAAAGCTGATCATATGCAAATTCTGTGACAAAATTCCACTCCTAGGCATATTCCCAACAGAAAAATGTACATTTATACTCTAAAAGACATGCATAAGAATTTTCATAATATCCCCAAACTGAAAAAGACCCAGATGCCCATCAATAGAAAAGATAATTTGTGTTATAGTTATACCAAGCATGACTACATAGCAAAGGAAACAAATGCATTATGATTACACACAACATGAATGAATTTCTCTAACATTATGTTGAGCAAAAGCAGCCAAACATAACAGATTACCTATAGCATGAGTCCAATTACATAAAGTTCAGAAATAGGCAAAACTAATCAACGTTAAGACAAGAAAGTGGTTACCTCTGGATGACCTGACTGGGAAGGGTGCACAGGGGCTTTCTAGGGGTGCTTATAATATTCTGTCTCCTGAACAGGGTATAATGACACTGGTGTACTCACTTTATAAAAATTCATCAAGCTCTATACGTATGATTTGTGCACTTTTCTGTATGTTTCAATATCAAGTTCATTTAAAAAATACATGCATGAAGGGGCAACTAGTTTGAAACCTGACCATGGTGTATTCAGAGAATAGCAAGAGATTTTACTAGTGAATGCAACTGTAGGGTGGTAGACAGAAAGACTGAAGAGGTGTACAACTGAGCACATGGTCACATCATGCAGGTGGAGGACCGAGGGTCTAGGCCTTGGCTTAGGGAATAGAGAAGGCATAAATCTGATGAGGTTGGGTGGAAAAGCTGATAAAGATGAAGGACTTAGGAACAGTTTAATATTCTTTGTTATTAATTCTCTGCAAACTTCCTGTGATGAGCTGGCCCTTTGCACATGACACTTTTTTACCTAGACGGTGCTTTCTTCTCTCTACCTGATTATCTCCTATTCGGGCCTCAGTAGCTCAGTATCAGCATTACTTAGGCAGGGAAGCCTCGCCTGGGGTCCCTACTCACATTGGTGTTGTAGGCTCTCCTCTACCGTGCTCCTGATAATTTCACATTTATGACTGATGATACATTTATGGAAGCTAAGCTTCACAAGGGTAGGAACTGGGCCTGGTTTTGCTCACTGCACCCCCAGCACCTAGCTTGGGTAGGCAGTCAATAAATACCTGAATGAATCAAGGAATGAAAGGAAAAATAAAATGAAAAATGAAGCCAAGACTTAGAGCCTGGAAAAACAGTACACCTGAAAGACAAACTTGGGTTGGTGGAATGCAGGCACAAGAGAAGGCTGGGGTGGCAGTGGGGGCTTCAACTAGAGTGCAGTGTGGTTAGGTCCCGCAGACCAGCACGCCTCATGCTGCACCGAGCACACAGATAACTTGAGGTCCTATTAAGACGCTGACTCTGATTCCAGTGGGTCTGAGCGGAGCCGAGAGTCTGCATTTCTTAGTCTCCCAGGAAGTGCCGAAGCTGCTGATGAGGGTCTGCACCGTGATGGGCAGGTCACAGAGAACTGGAAAAGCTACACCAAAGGTCAGGGCAGGACTGAGATCAGATCTTGGAACTGGTAACAAGGCAGGGATAAGGACATAGACTGGAGGCCTGAGAATCAAGTCTCAGAACCCCAGATGCACAACTTCGCTACAGGAAGCAAAAACACAAAGGAGATGAAATCTGTGTAAAAGATACACTCAGGAGAGAAGGGTACACTTGGTCTCACCCTACTTACGGAGCTCCAGGCAAATCTCCATCCTTCTGTAGATTGGGACTCTCAAATATTAATAATAACAACTCCTGGGACCGGCAGTGGAAAGAAACTTAATCACTTATAAAATTCCACCCACCCCACCACCACCTCCACCTTGCCCTTTCCAATGAAAATGTCATCAGAAGCGGGGATGCATTTTCTGAGTAATACCAAAAGTTATCAAAAGACAACACATGTGTTCCATAATGCTTTTAACCATACTGAATTTAAAATGTCAGATTTATTTATTGTTTAATCCTCATCTAGGAATTTCAAATGGGCTATAATTTTTTTTACAGATACAATAAAACCATTGCAGACATGGTTCTTAGTGGGAGGTACACATCAGAAGTCCCTGGGGAGCTTCTAAAAAATATGCCTGTGTTGGCCCCACCCATAAATGGTGATTCAGCATCCTGGAGTGTGGTACAGAATGACATGGCCTTTGGGACGCCCTTGAAGGAAAGGCCAGGCAGGCCAAGACCAGGGGAGTGGGTCTTCAGGAAACGGCAGGGTGTGCGTCAGATGATCCGGCTGAGAATATAGGTTCTGCAGAATCTAAGATATTCGCTGAAGGCAGACTTGTGAGCCATCCTCAGAGCAGCTGAAACTGAGAGCTGATCACACCATGACTCTGAACAGCAACATACCAAAGGTGATTTCACACAGGAGTCTCCAAATGGAAGTCACATGGGCTGAAATACCAATTGCAGGCACTGATTTTGAAACTGTTCTCCTGAGCAGCTCTGCATAGTTAGAGCCAGCGTGGGTACCAAGGGGACTTATTAACCATGGTTACTGGTAGTCATGTAGCCAGCTAACAAAATAAAGTAGACCAGCAACCAAAGAGACATGTTTTCCTCCTCACATTGATTTCTGTTACACAAAGGGCTTGGAACCTAATGAGAATGTTGTAAATAGGTATTTCATGAAAGCTGCAGAGATGTTTTTCCCACAATTGTTCCTAAAGCAAACCTTAATAAGAGCAAGCCTGCTGTTGAATAACCACATAATTGAGCCCCCTGGTGTTTTCAAACTGTCTTGAAGTTACATCTTAAACAATCCAGTCAGGACAATGGATGCTGACTAACTGCCCTGTTTCCTGTACCACAGCAATTGGGGAACTCAGGGTTTCTATGGCTTCCTTTATAAGCCTCTTAATTCCAAACAAAGCCACAACCCAACCAAGAACACACTGGCCTCCCCAGCCACAAATGATTACAGCTGAAGTTGATGCATTTTACAACGTGGAAGACAAGCGTGTTCTTTGCATATTTGGAAAAATCAATCAGTCACGGCTTTAGAATCTGTTTTGCACAATAACCACGGAGGTTCTACTGTGACTGTAGTTTGTAATCAAAGATTATACTTGCAAAACACATTATAAAAAGAGGCAATACCTCAGTGCAATGTAGGGACCAACATATACTGCTGTTTGGGCAAGCAAGTGTTGGGTGCCAAACGCAATGTGGGACACATACCAGGTACCCAATAAAAGGCATTTTATTAACAATGCTAAGCTTCTAATGCCTTCAGGTGTGGAATGTAGATTCAGGATTTTGTAGGCAATCCTCATTTCAGATACCTTACTGTTTTAAAATTGTATTTGTTTTAATTTGCTAAGGTTTGCTACGGTTAAAATGCAGTAATAGAGATGTGATGATATATGTTTGAGCTGCTTCCCAAACCTGATGGACCCAGAAGCAGCAGCACATCGCCTGGGGTGTGGCAATTTGTGGCCTGCGGGACACCAGAGCCCTGCGGTCAGGGTGGGGAAACAAACCTTCGGCCACTGTCCCCCCTGGGCTCCTCACCTGTGCTACAGCCCAAGGTGGGAAAGAAGTGATTTCGATTTTCTAAGGGTTCACACCCTGATCTGAGGAACTGCTCTTTCACAAGCCCATGAACAGGCAGAAAGCTCACCCTTCTCTATTATAAAAGTTAAAAAGCAGCTCAACTACATGTTGATCATTCTAAAAGGAAGTGCTAAGATCATTTCATACCCTTTTAAAAAAATAGGAACTTAAACCTTTAACTCTAGATTGCAAATACCAGTTTTTTAACAAAAGTCCTGAATTCATTAACACCTAATTTTTTTGAGTAAACTACGAAGGAACCATGGGCGGCTCACTGATCAACCTGAACAATCAAGCTGACCTAAGCCAATGCTGCCACCTAGTGGCACTAGGGGACAACACTTCACCTCCTACCCTTAGGACTTCCTCAAGGGAAACAGGCACAGCTCTGCTCCCTTTTCTTGCTTATCACTCACTATACAGTTCAACTCGTTCAAAAAGCCTCTCAATATATAAGGCCTTCTCTGTAGCCTGACTACCTCCCTTTCCCAAACTCTTCTCCCCTGGTGAACTCAACAAAGGTTTTGTTTTGCTTTTGTCTATTCATGAGCCCAACAGATGCCTGATCAGCTGGGGAGGGACAGCTCTGGCACAGAAATAGAACACCCATGTCCAGTCAGACACACCAGACTCATGACTCATCAATTAGGTGTGCTGCTCATCAAATACCAGTATTTCGTTAGTTCAGATAAAAGTTTTGTTTCTTT